GCTGGTACAAGGCCTTAGCAGACTATGGCAATTTGTCACCAAAAGCCAAAGATGGGTAGATCGAGTTGCCTTCGACACGACCTCGTTATGGTTGGTTCCTCCATGCAACCTCGGAGTACCCCCCAACGTTTAATAAGCGGGCACTTTGTTGGGTTTGATCCGAGTTTATGCAAACTGTCCAATGCCTACCACGCAGTCCGTCAGTCTCACAGCCATATGCGGCTTACTGCCAGGGTGTCTACCTACTGAGCACGAAACATACTCCCCAAACCCGCCCCTTTCCCCTTTCTTTGAAAGCCTCAATGTTTCTGCTACCGAGACTTATATGCAGAGAACCCGCAATAACCAACGGGTCTCCGTCTACTGCAGAGAGTTATATGGCTGTGCAGGATTGTACCTTCATGGAGCTTTGCGGGACAATTTGCTTGCCAACAGATCAATCCCTACGGCAGGCTTTATGGTCCCATTTGAAGGCGGAAAGATTGATGGCTGGCATATGAAGCACAGAAGGACTGCTATCTGGACTGCGAAGCGACTCCGGGAGTGATACGAACAAGCAGCCTGCCCAGTGCAAAGTAATACGTCCAATGCTGATACTATGTCCTTTCTCTGTACGTCCGAGTTGCCTTCATTGGCTATTACTCCGTACGTGGGCTCCTACGCTGGGCCACACGCCGAGCACGGAAGCCACCGACTGGCTCCGACAGGCCAAGCCATTTGCCGCGTTGTTCGTCCCGACTTTTTTTATCTGGGCTTGTGGCCTGGTCCGCTGTTCGAGAGGAACGGGTGCAACTCGACTAAAGGCGGAGTACATGCTCCAGACCCCATCTTGTGAAAAGCATGGCAAAGAGTTGAGGTATCGTACACAGTGACTTCATACGGAGGACAGGGCATCATGATGTTATACTACGGAGGTACCTGTTGTGGGTGGTTGGGGTCTTCTCGTGGTATCCACGACCAACGTCAAAGGCTGGTCACAGACTGATCATGGACAGCACCATGTTTCGAAGCGGCGGCAGCATCGGCTCGACTTTCGCTTCCAAGCAGATGTTCGGTGTAACGAGTCAGAACCAAACGTTGCGTACAAGCGCAAGTATATCCGTCGTCGCGCTTCGTATCATGATGCAACCATGTCGAGCAGTCTGCAGCTCAGGGAGTTCGTTCCGCAGCGCCTCGAATGGCTCAGGACCATCGGCCGTTGCTTCGCGGCAAAGCACGGGGACCTGATAGCCGTGTGACTCCCCTTCCCCCAACGCCGTCCTCCAACTGCAGAGGTCCTACGACGCCGGGCCAATATGCCCGGGGCACAAAACAAGACTTGGGGGAGAGGTTCCAGCTACATCTCCAAATCATACACCAGATGTGGAGTATGGGTACTGGCCCAGGCCGTTATATCGGCCACTTCAGTGCGCCGCTTGGACTCCCTTGCAGGAGGCTTTAATTATTGGCCACCGTGCCTCTGCGCAGCACGCCACCGACATAAGAGAGGAGCTCAGATCATTTCGTACGGAGGCCATGCTCCATGGCCACTCCTCTGGTGGTGATATTGCACCGCGGGACCTGCAATCACGGGCTAGGGCTGGTTGAGTGTCTCAAAGACGTGCGAGATCGCTCTCTAGATGCAACCACTGCACGTCCAGAGTCCGTATGCGCTGATTGTAGCCCGAGCTACTGTTCTCGAATCACGGCAAGTCTCACATGTGATCTCTTTATGCAAGGGTAGTGCTGGGAGATGGTACAACAAGGGCTGGCATCTGCTTTCCAAACTGGTGAGATCGCCTCCTGTCTGTGATGAGTTTGGCTGACCTTTGGCTGGCGATATGCCCACATGCTTGAACGCGGGCCGTCAATTATGGCACCTCAAGATGGGTTAATCGTACAAATACTTACCATCATTGCTTGCAAAATCGGGTCCTCTCTGGCCAAAGAGCTCCTACGGGAGAGGGCCTTGAGCAAGCTTAGAGCTCCAGCCGGGGGGGTGTGGTCTTGACTGCACATTAGTTCAGCTCAGGTGGATTCACTGCCCTAGGATCAGTTACTGCCAGATGGATCGACCGGCTCCCGGTATTTTTAAAGGAGCTAATTTGGAGGCTGCATGTCACTCGGAGGCCCCCATCCACTGGGACACTATTATTTGTTGGCTGACAACCTCATCTTTGCTCTGTGCCTTACTCGGGAGGGCTCCGGTACCCAGTACCGCCCTCTCAGCTGCCCTGCACCGAGACATTGACAAGGACGACTTGGCATTTCAGCCGCTCACAGCACACCTTGGTCCCGGGCTACTGCCCACGGGATACTTGTGCCCTGCATCGGTCCGGCCTGGCCATCGTGGTGGCCCGGTATGACGGGCACAGAGGCGCCGTCAGAACTGGAGCCGAGATCAACATCACGCAGCACGCCGGTGTACGGGTCACTCGTGCGACATGATAGGGTGATGATCTCACAGGGAGCTTCCCGGCCCGCGGCACAGGAAAGGCCTGGCACGCTGTGCTTCATAAACCTCGACGTATTCCCCCCCCCCCCTTTGCTCTCGAGGTGGCGCCGCCTCACCGCGCGCCCGTGAAACACGGATTGACGTTGGCCCACTGCTATTGGGTCGGAGGTTTGATTTGATTCTGATTTCTGATATGAAATCAGCTTGACTCTGGTTTGATTTCCACTTGATGGGCGACGTCGTTGCGCAGGAATGGGCGACATGTGAGCTGTTGAGGACTCTAACATACCTTTTCTTTTTCCCTGCCTCTATCAACCTTTGGCAAGGATGTCTGCACGTCTGTACACGCCGCCGGTATTTGTAATTATCAATGTTTGATGAACACGCCCTCCCGTTGGCAGCCACATGTCATGGATTCCTGGATGGAGGATTGGAATGTCCAACACGTTCGCGTTACGCCCCCCTCCCCCCTTCCTTGAGCCAAGTCAGCGCCAGTCTCTTGCAGCAGCGAATCGATCTGAGACTGTGTAGAGTTGGGGAGGGAAGAAAGATGGAGAACTGCATACACCCATTTCGCTAAGCAGGCAGCAGAGGATGAAGTCTGGATGTTGGAGGCCCTCCTCGATGTCTGAATCTGTTTTCCCACTGTCTCTAACGTGGTGGTGGTGGCTGAAGTCAAAATGGAAGCCTCTCTTGGCCTTACCCGCTTGCTACGCGAAGCCATCGAGCTTCTAGCCCCCTCTTCGCGGAAGCTCTATGGCTAGCTACTTACCATGACCGTTATGGCGCTTTCTGGCAGCCTACCCCCCTCTCGGATGAAATCCTCCGCGGAAAACCTTGGAGAGGGTGTCTTTTGTTTGTTTTGATAGGAAGATTGATGGCGGAGGGGGTGGAGGAGCTTGCTTGTCGTGGAGGCAAAGAGCCACCGCCAGCGGCACCGAAAGCACATGGGAAAGAATAACAGGCACGCACCGTACTGATGGATGGGCCCGGAGCAAGAAAAGCCATGAAAAGGGAGAGAGCGCCGGAAAGAGGCGAAAGGGTGGGCGTGTAATTGTTTCTCATCAGATGGGGCTGGGCCGTGTTGTGCACTGGGCCCAAGGATTGGGGACGGAGTCATACACGTGATGCTGTCTCTGGCGTTGGGGAGCTCAGTCGAATCAGTCGGGGGATGAGGTGGCACAAGCAAAAGGGGTTGAGTCGCGGAGGGGGTTCGAGGTGTGATGATGAATGACGGATGGATGATCTATGATATCGTGGTTCAAGATATGCCTGAGGTCAGCAGCTTGGATTCTCGGGCTTTCTCAGGTATCTCTGTCTTTCGTGGAATCATCACTCACTTTGAGTCGATTATTTAGCGGTGAGGCTGGCCGATGAGGTTGTACAAAGGGGAGGCTCTCATTGGATTCTACGCACCTCTATATGAGTGCTGCTGATGTCGGGCAAGGCGTGATCAAGGACAGAGACGAGGTCTGGCCCGCCACTATCTAATAATCTCTCTGAGTCAGGTGAGGTATTACTAGATCTTGCCCGGGGGATTTATGAGGTGATACAACCCCCCATTAGAGCTTCACGTGTTGCTTCTCGACGAAGCACATGGTATTTGTTGGAGACTCACTCACAAAGGTAAATATCCAAGAGACGGGGTGAGCGTGATGGGATAATTCTGTTCAACATGCTTGAAACACAGGATCCAGATGTCGTATTCAAACATCTTGTTCCTCCGAAAGTTCTCATGAAGAAACATCAAGATGTTTGCTTCCGTAGAGACGTATCGAACTAGTATGTAACGTAACGCATGGTCTTGAACTCTACCATGAGACCATGATGATGATGAAGAAGAAGAAGAAGGAAAAGAAACGACTCGTCATCGATTCGACTCTAAACTGAGACACGCACGCAAGACAAAGAAAAAAGAAAAAAAAAAGATGCGAAGCTGCATGAGCTTTTTCTGAGTCTGTTCAAGCCGTCAGTCATGAGACTTAGTCACCTTTGTCTTATCCTTTATCGTCTACGAACAGACAGTTATCCGCCCAGTCTTGTGTGATGTTTGAGAGGGGCTCTGAGAAGAAGAAGAATCGCTATTGTCATTGTGATTCTGCGGACTGGAAATGGAGTATGGGAGGGATAGATCAAAGAGGTAGAAGGCGGATAGACAGGGCTAATTCAATCTGAGGTCATGATTGAAAAACCAAAAGGGCGGACCATCAATTACGATACAATCAAGCAAAGACAAGAGAATCATGGCCGCCCATGGTGCATTTGTACTGTCAACTCAACTCATCGTCGTAATCAATCTCATTGTTTTCATATATTCTGTGTAAAGCCATATGTATATATATCCCATGCCCGCTTACATCCTGAACGAATTATACTCCTGGAAAAAAAGGTTCTTTATCCTGAGAATCCTCCCCATCCCCTTTCTTTCTTCAAATCTCATTTTGTCCTCTCAATCTGTCCAGATATGTGAAAATGTCATCGTCACTACAAAATTGTATAGAATGCTTCGAAGCAAAAAAAGCCGGAAACAAGACCGTTTCGACTCATGTCATGACTGCGCTAATAAAGTGTCTTCATGCTCAAAGAACGGGGCTACTGCTCAACAGGAAGCCTCTAAAACTCAAACTCGGGTCTGAAAATGTCGGGGTCGACACCGGGAACCGTCTTGTCCGCGAGATCTTTTCGGCCCATCTGCGTAAACACCCTCCTCAAGGTATCGTACAAGGTGCTGCTGCGGTTCTGAGCAGACATTCTGTCAAGAGCCTGGTCGACTTGGCCGGCGGCTCCGTCGCCTAGGATCTCGTATGCCTTGCTGCGGCCAGACTTTTCAATCGTCTTGTGCATGTCGAGAGCGGCAAGGAAGTGAGAGGCCGCCTCCTGGTGGCAGTTGATGTTGATACAGCTCACGCCCAGGTTGTAGCGGGCACGAACAAAGTTGGGAGCCAAGGACAGGGCCTGTTCGTACGCTGCGATTGCCTCTTCCGATCTGCCGCTGTTGGCGAGAGTAGCGCCAAGCCTGTTCCAGAGGAGGTGAAGCTGTTCCTGCTGGTTTGTCGTGCCGAGCTCGGAGGAGTGAAGAGCAGACTGGAAGCAGTCCACGGCCTTGTCGTACTCCTCTGCTCCGTAGAACAGCACGCCCAGTCCGACTTGGACGTCGGGGTCCATGTGCTCGCCGTCGGGGCTAAGCTGGGCTGCCTTGATGAAGAGGTTGGTGACCTTGTCGTGCAGCTGTTGTCGATCGGTGAATCCCATGTCCGCAACGGGGTGAAGGTTTGTGGGGTCCAGAATGTTGGGATACTTGACGGACAGCCATCGCTCCAGAGTCCGATACGCTGTGCTGTCGTAGCCCTCGTTGGTATACGAAACCGCGAGCCCCATCATGGCATCGAGATTGTTCGGGTCAAGCTTCAGGGCCTGCTCCAGCGCGCGAATAGCCGCCGTCTCCTTTTCGTTCTGGGCTTGAGCGGATCCCAGGTATACCCAAGCCTCAACGTGCTCCGGGTTCTGCTGAACGGCAGCCTCAAACGCCAGGGCAGCCAGCGACAGGTTGCCTCCCTCCTTCATGACGCGGACACCCTCCTCAAACGCATTCTTCTGGTCGCGGAAGATGTTTTCCTGCTCAAACATGTACTTTTCGACGATAGGGTCGGCGAATCGTCCCCAGTCGTTGACTCCGTTGAAATCGGGCATGAGGTCCTGGCCCCATTCGGTATCGAATTGATCAAAGTATTGTTGCTCGTTCACCATCGACCTAGCAGCAGCAGTCTCAGCCTGGATTCCTTTCCAAATGGATTCGAAGTCACCAAACTCGTTAGTTTCCGACTGGAGCTTATTGTCCATTTCGTTGAGCTCTGGTTCGGCAGCGGTGGCCTGCTTCTCAGCCTCCTTGGCTTCCTCCTTGTCTTGGAGCTCGAGTTGGGCAAAGTGCTCCTCCCACTTGCTGTCGTCCAGTTCGACCATCTTGCCCTTGCCCTTGAGGTCCTGCTGTTGTTGCTGGACAGGCTGCTGCTGCTGTTGCTGCTGCTGATACATCGGCTGCATCATCGACTGGTTGGCAAGGCCGTATCCCATCGGCATGCCCATCATGCCCATGCCCATGCCCATCATGGGCCGCTGCTGCGGCATCGCAGAGGACATGTCACCGCGCATCTCAGGGGCCATTGCCGCGGCGGCCGCAGGGTTGGCTTGTTGGAAACGGGCAAACTCCTCGGGGCTGAAGAGAGCCCTGGGCGGCGCCTGGTGCATGAGCTCCATGCCGCCCTGGGCGTTGAAGTCCTGCGCCCATTGCGGCGCCATCGAGTTGGCGATTGGTGCAGGGCCCAGCTGGGCACCGGGCGCGCCTTGCAAGGTAGGGAACTCTTGTTGAAGACCGGGGCCGGCATTGAGGAAACCGTTCACCATCTGCAACACCATGCAGGCGACATGCATTAGTAATGCGCATTCTGAGGCAATGTAAACAGACAGACAACTGGGCATTAATTAGACACGTACCTCATCCTGAGCAGCATTCGCAGGCGAGCTACGAAAGCCGCCCAACTGGCCACCGGGACCCCGACCAACGAGGCGGTCTCGCTGGAGTGTCTTGTCATCCTGAACGTGCTTCTGGAACTGGCTCAAGGGGTTGCCAGCCGTGGAGCATTCTGCACCTCCCATGAACGACATGATGGCGATGTATGTGTATGGAGTGGTGTATCGAATGCAGTAACGTGTATGTACACGGGGGTATCGATCGTCGTCGTCGTCGTCGTCGTGACTCCGCGGGCAGAAAAAGGAGAAGAACCGAAGAAGCAGAGAGATAGGAGATGTAATAGGTAAGCAGGTAGGAAGTAAGCGGCAAAGACGCGGACGGCGACACAGCAGACGGACTCGTTTGTGGCAGCCTGATGCAATGGTCGACGATGGCCCAACAGAAGACAGACGCTCCACGTGGCGGGAAAGATGCAGGAACGGGGAACAAGGACAGCAGAGCGGCTCCAGCTGCGAAGAAGATGATCGAGGCTCGGTCCCAGGCAAGGCGCTTACACAAATACTAAGTAAGGCACAGGCACTTCCACCTGCAGGAGGAAACGGGTTTGTTTGTTATGTTGTGTGGGGAAAGGCGCCTACCGAGGCTGTCGCCGGTCCGTCCGAAGCTGGTCAGCTTCAGTCTCTTGCTGACGAAGACGCGATGGGGCTGAGGCCTCAGGGGCTGCACGTGATTGCGGGGGATGCCGATGCAGGCCAATGGGGGGGGTTCTGTGGCTGGGTTGGGCGGCAGCGATACGAGTACGACGTTTCGCTGGTCGATCGTGGCGGTGCAGTCTAAGCTTTGCTGCTCTATCGATAACACTTTTTTTTCTTTCTTTTGCTTCTGAAGAATCGACATCACGACGAACGGCCTTTGGTGGAAACTCACATTACGAGAGCAATCACACAACCATTGCCCATCATTCACAATGCTTCGTCAAGTGTAAGTACTTGACACCTCTTTCAGACTTTGACGGTTATCCAAGTCCTCCTCCCCCCTTTCATCAAGTAAAACTAAACGAGTTATTCGTACAGAAAACCCCGAAATGCCCGCTCCAAGCGAGCCCTCGAGAAGCGCGAGCCCAAGGCCAACGAAAACCCCAAAACATGCCTCTTCCTCCGCGGCAACAACTGCTCGCAGGTCGTCCAGGACGCCATGAACGACCTCTTTGCCATGCGCCAGCCCCTCTCCAAAAAGTTCACCAAGAAGAACCCCATCCACCCGTTTGAGGACGCCGCCTCCATCGAGTTCTTCTCCGAGAAGAACGACGCCAGCCTCTTCGTCTTTGGGTCCTCGCAGAAGAAGCGCCCGCACGCCATGACGCTGATCCGCACCTTTGGCCACAAGGTGCTCGACATGCTCGAGCTGCACCTCGACCCCGAGACGTACCGCTCCATCGCGCAGTTCAAGACCAAGAAGTTCGCCATCGGCATGCGGCCCATGCTGCTCTTCGCGGGCAGCGCCTTTGAGAGCCCCGTGCCCAACGAGTACACGCTCGCCAAGAGCATCCTCCTCGACTTCTTCAAGGGCGAGCCGTCGGACAAGATCGACGTCGAGGGCCTGCAGTACATCATCTCCGTCGCCGCCGAGGACGTCGCCGGCGAGGGCGACGCCAAGCCCACCATCCACCTGCGCGTCTACACAATCAGCACCAAGCGCAGCGGCCAGAAGCTGCCCCGCGTCGAGGTCGAGGAGATTGGGCCCCGGATGGACCTCCGGGTGGGACGCATGCAGGAGGCCGACGAGGCCATGCTCAAGGAGGCCATGAAGAAGCCGCGCGGCACCGAGGAGCGGACGAAGAAGAACGTCACCATGGACTCTATGGGCGACAAGCTGGGTCGCGTGCACTTGGGCAAGCAGGACTTGAGCCAGATGCAGACGAGGAAGATGAAGGGCCTGAAGCGGTCTCGTGATGACGGAGTTGAGCTGGAGGATGTCATCGTGGATGAACCCAAGAGGGCGAGGAAGTAAGCTGGTAAGCACTGGAACGACAAAGAATCGGAGAGAGGGGGTTTAGAAAAGAGAATTGGTAGGCGTGGTTAATTGCTTGGAACTGGAGTTTGGCGCCTTGGGTGGCTTCATAGTCGGCTCTATCGATTACTGCTATATAGTGTCCTAAAGATTTCATGTCAGGATCATTGCAATAGAAGGTGTGATGCATCTGCATTCACAAGCTTTGGCATTCTCAATCAGTCCGCGTCTATCGGCTTAGTTATAACAGTCACGCTCCTTTCACGTCTCGACATGATACGAGCAGTTCAATTTTACGAAAGAAGTAAGTTGGCCATGTTTTCATCAGAACTCGTTACAGATCCTCACAGTATTATGTGTCGTGATGCCGCCTCCTTTATCAACCTCTATTGTGAAGCTCGAGAGAGCTTCAACCACTAGTCCCGTCATCAGGCCGTCGATGCCCCTTCATCCCATTCCCAACGCCGAATAAGCCCATAGCAGAGAATATGTGAGTGACTATACTGCACGCTTTCGATAAACATGAAGATGTGAAACATGAAAGTCAAGATCAAGGGGGTCAGAATTCAAGGAGTAATGGCAAAAGGGGGGGGATGAGAAGAGAAGAGAAGAGAAGAAATGAAAATCAACATGCTGGTATATCTTGTATGTGGTTGCCATGAACACCAACGCCGCCATCTTTTGACAAACCCTAGGCTCGGAAAAACGGAGAGATAATGAAACAAATGATCGAAAAAGAAATCCAACGGCCACAAAGCCAGCCGTAATCATACACTTCTGAATTGGCGTTCCGGGAGGGAAATCAGTCGAGGGGCGGAGGAACCAAGCCGCCCAAATCGCCCACCACGGGTATCGACTCTATTGACTGAGGACCTTGGGTGCTGTCCATCATCTTGGCCATCAGGTCAATGTGGTTGAGTATCGTCTCGGCAGACGGCATGCTTGGGTTCTCCTTGCGCTCCACGCCCCAGATCTCGGCCGGAATAGCATCCGCTTCTCCGTCCCAAAGCGCAATCCGGATGGGCCACTCAAGGTGCCTCCACCATTTCGAACCAGTCTCAAACAGGCTCACGAGGCCCATGACCTCTCGCCGGGCAACGTCATCCAACCACCACACATTGTCCATACGCTTTAGCAACGCGAAGAAGCAGGCCAGAATGGCTAGCGCACGAGGTCTCTTGGCTTCGACAAGCTCAACATAACGACGCGACACCGTTGATGGAAGGGCCAGCGCAGAAGGAGCGTAGTGATTCTTGTGAGCCCAATTAAGGACGCAGACGGCATGGAAGTAACCCTGGTTGGTGGCCGCCCTGTGAGCCTCGTCCTCTTGTTCCAGTTCCTCGTCCAAGTCATCAAGAAGATGGCCAAAAAAGGAATCGGGTCCGAGGGGGTTCAGATCCATGAAGCCTGGCTGGGAGTCAATGACGACCTTGACAGTGGCGCTATTACGAATCCACTGCCAGGAGGTGGCCACAATGGTCTTGACGCCTTGGAAAGCGTGGAACCAGGAGAGGGGCAGCGCATATCGGCGATGCGGCTCGCCTGGATCCGAGGGATCGCCGTCCTCCTTGACAAACAGGCGAGAGGCCGTCGCCTGGAAGGCGATGAGGCAGGAGGTGAGGAACAGGGCATCTGCATTCTCTGCTGTGATGCCCTTGTTCAATGAGCGGCAGTATTCCGCCAAGGTAGACGCCGAATAGGCATGCGAGGCCTCGATCATGACCTTGTCATCGGGATTCTTGAAGCGCAGATGCAGAGCAGCCACGGACAGGACGGCATCGATCAAGTACGTCCGACCCTCGAGGGCGAAGCGCGGGACGTCCTTCTGCCAGATGTCTGTACTGGCGGGAGAATTCATGACCAAAGTCTTGGAGGTGCTGGTGATGTACTGGTGCCACAGTTGGAACTCCAGAAGCCTATCTCCTTGCCTGGTCATGGACGTGATGATAGGGACCGACGGCAGCGTGAGCGACGGTGTCGAAACGGTGGACGGGGGAGAAAGTCGCAGCGGCGATATCCGGCGATCATCGTACGAGGGCATGGCTGTCGTCAGTGACGCTGCCGTCGTCGCATTTGTCGTCGTCGACGTCGTTGTCGTTGGAGGTGCTGGCGCGGTCTTGGAAACCGGGCTTACTGAAGAGGGCGCGGATATAGGCGCCTGCGGGCTCTTGACAGTCGGGGTGGAGGTCGTGTGCAGCTCATCGAGCACTTGGCGACTCTCGAAATCACACATGACGCCATGTTTGGAGCAATTTCCACATCGTGGATGAACTTCGTCACACTATACAGCAAGCGAAAGCAGTGGCATTAGTATGGACTCTCGTGCATTCGCGAAGCGCAGAAGGTTCTTCATTGGGAAGTCGGAGAGCGAAAGCGGTGGGAAATTGTCGGGAACATTTTTTTTCCTCCCCCTTCGGCTTCAGTTTTCTCTTGTCCTCTCTCACCTTTATCTTGCGATTTTTGCAGCGCCGACACCCCGCGCGCGACTTTTTGTGCGACCGTCTAGGAGGCATATGGAAAGTGTTGAGGAATTCACAGTTGAGGTCGCGAAATGATGCGTGCAGCAAGGGTCCTAGATGCGCCACGCACAGGCGGCATTGCCACGCGGGCCCTGTGTTGGAGAAGATTGGGTTTCTGGCTGTGCCTGGGCTGGCTGCTGCTCCAAGTTGGTGTGTATATATGTAGGTACCAGATAGAAGGGGCTAAATCGCGATATCCGACGTGGTTGTGCGGCTGGGCTTCTTCACCTGTGCATTGTGCAGCATCCGGCAGTGTTGAAGAGCTGGAGCTGGAGCTGGAGCGCCGCAGCAGCCGGAGCTCGGGGTCGAGGCACACGAGATGGCTCAAGCAATGGTGGATATAGTGCTTCAGACGGATATCGACGTCTGGAGGGGCGAGCCTTGCTTCTGCATGGGCATAAAGGTAAGGTTAGTAGGCATAGGCGATGGTTTTACGAGTACGAGGACGGCTGGAAAACAGGACAGGACGCCTTTCTGCAGGCGGTTAGTCAGCAGCGGCTGGGGCACGCTCCGGGGGCACTGCCACGCGGAAGGGTTCCTGCCGGGCTCTTTGTTTCTCCGAAGGGCTGCAGGAGAGGGAGCGTGAGTGGCCAGAAGCCCGCGGCATCCGGGACGCCAATTATTCCTATGGGTTGCTGCTTCACAGGGTACCTAGGTACTAGTAATTGATAACGGCCAGAGACTGGATCGAGTGGATGACGTTGTATAATCAGGTTCGATTACACGCTCTTTGGCAGGGCCTATATTCTTGTGTAATGTTCATCATATCATATCATTCATGATGGAAAATTGGGATAGAGTCAAGGTTAGTGAGCTGCGGCGACGATTAGCGAAATTGGCATCGTTGGGCGTTCGTTGCCCGATACCGTGTTTGGCGGGCGCTTTCATCTCCATAATGTAGAGCATGTACAAGTAGTATATCGATATTACAGAGAAATAACTTACCAAAACAGAGAACCTCTCGTTGGACGTGTGGCTTATCGGAATGCCTATCAAGGGAGGTGGCAGGTAAAAAAACGGTGTCCATGTTCAACAAGGTGGATGGGGCTCACCCGCAACAAGATACCCAAGGCAAGATGGGGCTCAGAGGTAGTATGTAGATGAGCTGCAAACTCATGGCGGTGGCATCAAAGCACAGACTTGGATCACGTCAATGGATGGTGAGGTACGTGATATGTGAGGAGGCAGACGCATGAACGTGCTTATCAGAGAGACTGTCGCCTTCCATTTGCCAGGTTGCAAGGGACATGAAATGTGCAGGAATCGAGCCAGGAGGAACACGTCTCGCCCAACGCCTGTAAAGACAACTGCTTAAAGCAACCACGTGAGTACCTCCTACATGGCATCGTAGCACCAGAAGCGCCATCGGGAGGACCCTAGTTCTTGATCGGTTTCCGCATGGGATATTACGGAGCCAAGGCTCGCACATTTCAGACATGAAATTGATTTGTAAGTCAGTTGCGCTGTGCAGAGGCTGTGAGCCGGCGCTGGCCGCAGTTGTTGAGTCGTGCTACTACTAGTAGGCGTGTACGGATACACACGACATCAATGATAGCTCGACATGACCGCGAAGCCAGCAGCCCGCAGATATTGCCAATCTTCGGCTTCACTCATTGCTAGCAGGAGTTTTCATTCGTCTACAGCGAGAAACTTCAGTTCTTGTAACAAACTCCGAGTCCGTTCTATGACATTTATGCTTTCCATTTGATGGCGTGTAGTCGCCCAAAACGCCGAGCTGAACACGCCCGTGTTGGAGGGACGGCGCTAGAACGCTGCAAGCCGGCCTCGTGATGGAAACGACTATCGGGGACCGGATCGACAGCTCAGTCAACGTCCATTCGCCAGCGTGGGCAGAAACACGAAGGGGGTTGGACACCCACAGGAGAGGACCGATGATCTAATTTTGATTCTCGACGACGAGGGGCGGTGAGATTGCCGCCCATATGTATGTACTGAATAAGCTGAATTGAATGACAGATCGAAATCACCCGCGAATCCCATCCCGAGCGAGCGGCAGGACAAGAGGCAAAGGCCGCCAGATACCTACCTAGTTTGGCAACTAGAGGGTAAGGTATCACAAAGGTCCAGCCAAAGTCCTCGCACAGACCGCATTGCGTCGCACCCCGTCGGCAAGGACGCAACGTGCCGGTCCTACATACAAGGGGGGAATGAACAGCGCATCAAGTTGATTTCTTGGTCGCCTGGGCGAAAAAAAAAAGAGTCCTCCTATTTGCACTATAGCATATCTCTATTTAAACCGTAGTAGTCCATGCCACTAACTAGGCTAACCCCCTAAGTATAATTATCTATACACCTATACTAAAATACAGTATAACACACTAGCAGTTATTACCGTTAAGGAGATATTACTAGAAGAAGGGCATAAGAGGTTAAGACTAGGTAATTAAGGCAGGCTAATTTATTTAAAAACAGCATTTTCTTTAGTTTCCTATTAAATATGCATATAATTACAGCTAGGCTAGGTTATCTTAATTATCCTAGACTGCTAACACTAGCTAGGTAGCTAGGATAATAATAACCTCTTTAATAGCATTACTATTATTACTATTATTACTATTATTACTAATAGCAGTAGCAGTAAGAGCTTTTAGCTGTTATTAATTTATTTATAATCTTTATATAGCTAGCTGTAATCTAGAACCTATAAATAACTAAGATAAGGCCCTACTGCTGCTACTGCTGCTGCTGCTGCTAGTATATCCTTAGCTATATCCTTAGCCATATCCTTAGCTATAGGATAAAGCTAAAGGCAAGGCGCTGCTGCCTTATATTTTATATTATAATAAGACTTGCTATATAAATAGATTTAAATAGTATGCTAAGGCATGCTAATAAGGTTATTAAAATGCCTAAGGCCTAGCTTATAATAAAGCTAGTGTCTTTTACTTTTCCTCTTTATTATTAGCCTAAAGGCTTATTAGTATTAGTAATTTACTATTTTTTAGAATTCTTAGTTAGCTATAAAGGTTTTAAACAGTATTTAAATTATATAGGTAGAGGAGAGGCTTCTCTAGATTCTAAAAGAAGGTAAAGTTAGTAATATTCTTATAGTAATTAGCTAAGAATTATACTAGTAGCTTCTTTAGCTACTATTATAAATAAATATCTTCCTTTTTTAAAGACTTGCTGTCCTTTAACTTCTTAAAGATTATATAACTATAAGGAAGTCTATATTATATACAGAAGTTACTAGTATAAGGCTTTAAGCCCTTTAGTAATAGATTTAAGTGTAAGAGCATTGCAGCTATAGTAAGATAATGCTGCTTTATAAGAAGATTAATAGTAATATAGCTAATAGTTAAAGGAATATTACTAAGCCAGCTTTAACTAATAAAGCGCTGCTGCTGCTATATCTGCTGCCTAGCTGCATTTTAAATATAGTCTATCTCCTTCTACTTAATTATAAAGATAATTACTATATAAAGGTAGAAAAGGTTACTTATATTAAAAAGAAGATATAACTTTATATTCTTATAAGCAGTTTTTATAAGACTGTTAATGCATTAGCTATAATTTTAATACTGCTTAATAAAGTAATAAGCCTACTGCTTATAATAAGGTATATACTTCTTAAAAAGGTATTAAAGGATATATATTTATAAAATACTATCTTTCTCCTTATTATATTTCTCTTTTATTAATAACTAGGCTTATAGGAAGTCTGCCTTATTATTAATAAATATTACATGCTTTTAGTTATAAAATATGCCCTTATAGATTAGCTTATTTTTATTAGCTAGTTATAAGTCTGCTGCTAGATATTTATTTTTAGCTTTTTATTATATAGCTGCTTAGGCAGTAAGGTTATTATTAAGCTAGTTAAGCTTTTTATTAGCTACTTTATTTTTACTGTTTTTATTATTATTGCTATTTTTATTATTATTACTATCTTTATTATTATTGCCTTTTTAGCGCATGCAGATTTAGGCTAAGATATTTATATTTATATAGTAAATGCAGAGTTATTACTATAATAAAGGAAATATATTATTAAAAGTGTTTTTAAGCGTATCTTCTTTATTTATAATAATTATAGATAGTGCTAGAATATAAAGCTCTTATTAAATAGCCTCTAGCTTTTTATACAGCTACTAGTATTTATTCTGCTTCTTTATATTAATTAAACTAAAGGCAAAGTTAGCTACTAACTTTTAGTTTATAATACTAATAACTTTAAAAAGGAATATACTAAAACAGTTAGTCTTATATATATTATTAATCTTAAAGACTTTAAGAAAGCATTATTATATTATCTCTAACTATTTATATAACTAAATAATGCCTTAGACCTTATTATTATTATTAGTCTTAATAAAATAATAAAGGTTAGCATTCTGCAGCTCCTTAATCTAGGCCTAGGTTACTAATAGGCTGCTAAGGGCTTAGATCTTAATCCTTTAGTAGTTATTATAAATATTAAATTACTAGAAATAAGTAGGCTTGCTTATACTATTCTAGAGGATTTAGGCTATCTCTTTAATTAGCAGGGCTTAATACCTTACTAAATCTCTCTTTTATTATTATTAGGCTAAGGTCTATTACTAGTGCATAATATGCCCTAATAGATTAATTAACAGCAGATAGTTATAATCTATATAGACTATATAATAAGACTACTTCTAGTTAGCCTGTCTAGTAGCTAAAGCTGTAATTTTATAAGGGTATCCTATTTATTAAGTTAAACTTTATTAAATCCTAGTGCTTATTAAAGTCTAGGGCCTAGCGCAGTTATAAATAAGGGCATAATAAGTTTAGACTTGCTAGCTGTTAATAACCTAGGGGTTAGAGCTGCGCTTAGTATAAAGAGCAAGACTGTAATTATAATAGAAGGTTTATAAAAATGTAAAGAGTTTATTAAATGTATTATATATTACTAATAGCAGCAGGATAGGAAAGTAATACTTTAAGGCAGCCTTTAATAGCTTTAGTAATAACTTTATATCCTCTGCAGCTTATTATATAGCTTCTGCAGCCTCTTAGGCTTACTAGAGAACTTTAAGGATTTTATTAGCTAACTAGGGAGCTTTTATAATCTCCTAGGCTTACTGTAATAGCATGGTATATATAGGCAGTAGTACTAATACCCTCTTAGTATATAGCAGCAGCAGTAATAGCATTTTTTTTTAAGGCAGCTAAGCTAAATCTCTAAGATTAATAAAGCCAGGCTTATTAGGAAATTACATAATAGATAGCCACTCTAAGTTATTAAATCTAACCTTATTAAGGTCCTTGCTGTTAAATTTAATAGCTGCGGCTGCTAGCTTTATTACTGCTGGCTTTATTACTGCTAGCTTTATTACTGCTAGCTCTATTACTACTATTATCTCTAATATATTAAAATCCTTATTATTAAGGTTGTTGCTATTAAATTCTACTGCCTCTAGCGCTGGCAATGCCTTTAATATATTTAATGCTAATAGGCTAAAGAAGGCGTAAATCTCTGCAAGACCGGCGCCTTAGGATAACTCTAAAAACATTAGCGCGTTAAGATAACGGCCTTTAAGCTCTAAGTGCTTTATTCTTGTAATGCTAATGTTTATAATATTAAGATTTAGGACCTAGGTGAAAAAACAGTTAAAATTGGCAAAGTCTTAGTGTTATAGTATAGACTATAAGATATACTATTAGCTTATACTATAGATAGGTATGCAGTTATAGGAATAGTGGTGTAGGCGTAATAATTTTAGTACAGGCATAGACCACTATGGTTTAAATAGGAATCCATTACGGTGTAAATAGGAGGACTTAAAAAAAAAAAAAAAAAAAAAAAAAAAAAGCGTGATGGAGGTGCGGATGTCGGTCGGGCTTTTCCTGATTGCGAAGGCCAGCGATGGCCGTTGCATAGCGCCATGACACAGAACTATCTCGAAAACGCGCCGTCATTGTATTAGCAATTGGCCTGTGGCTTACCAAGTACAGCCTGCCCTGTAGTACTTGGATTCATTACGAATTGGAACAGAGAGGCAACGAAAGGGGATGGCAAGGTAATACTACAGCAGGATATCCCCCAGTTTGTACTAACAGTTTGTACTAAGGTAGGTTCTAGGTAAGGTAGATAGCCCGTGTATTACAAAGAGACTCAAACAGAAACAGCCCCGTCTCTGACAGAGCGGATTTGCTGTTCGTCTAGCAGAATGATGTGATTTGCAAGGGCGGGCAGCAATTCTCCTGTTTCGTCTTCCCCATCAATTACATAAAAAAGGGCGTCCCCCTTCTTTCGGCATTGGAATTTTGCTTGCTGAGACTACCCAAGGTACTAGTAGTACTAACAGAAATCGCCCAAGAGACAAGCCAGTTGACGCATTATTACCCACCCGCGCCGGCGGATGACACCATTTTTAGAGTTGCCCTGCCTTTGTCCCTGAAGTGGAGATTTGTCAAAGTCGAATATTTTTTTTTTTTCTCGAGCGCCCCGGAGTCAGTCTCTCTAGCTGCTGTTAAAAAGGAACTTCTGTGTCCGCCTAAAAAACCCTGCTCCTCCTCCTCTCACGATCTCGCTTCCTCGTTGAAAGAACAAAAACAATAAAGGAGACACCATCCTCTGTCGTTGGCCGTCTTGTCCTTGTCGAATCAGATCCAAGACGTCATTCTCATCCTCCCGAGGCCTGAGCTTTCTCTTCTCCGAGCTGCCGCAGATAAGATAACGCAGACCCTGCATAAAAAAATCCGGCCCCTCCAACAAACAAACAATCCGCAGCTCCAGAGCGACAAAAGAGAGATCAACATCCCAGATCTCCTTTGTTCTTTTTTTTTTCACCCAATTCCTCCTTTTCAACACCCCATCTTTCATCCAACAAAAATCACAATGTCTCCCCCCGTGACCTCTGACCCCGTCACCACCCCCCAGCGGCCGCCGACCCCCGTCCACGCCTTCGGCACCCTCGCCGTCCACGCCGGCTCGCCCATCGATCCCGCCACGGGCGCCGTCATCGAGGCCATTTCGCTGTCGACCACCTTTGCCCAGTCGGCCGTGGGCAAGCCCGTCGGCATCTACGAGTACTCGCGCTCGGCCAACCCCAACCGCGACAACTTCGAGACCGCCGTGGCGGCGCTGGAGCACGCGCGGTACGCCCTGGCCTTCTCCTCGGGCAGCGCGACGACGGCCACGATCCTGCAGTCGCTGGCGGCCGGCAGCCACGTCATCTCCGTGTCGGACGTCTACGGCGGCACGCACCGCTACTTCACGCAGGTGGCCAAGGCGCACGGCGTAAAGGTCACCTTCACGCCCGAGATCGAGGTGGACATTGCCGAGCACATCACGGACCAGACGCGCCTCATCTGGATCGAGACGCCCAGCAACCCGACGCTGCGCCTCGTCGACATCCGCGCCGTCGCCTCCGTCGCGCACAAGCACGGCGTCCTCGTCGTCGTCGACAACACCTTCCTGTCGCCGTACGTCCAGAACCCGCTCGAGCTGGGCGCCGACATCGTCGTCCACTCCGTCACAAAGTACATCAACGGCCACTCCGACGTCGTCATGGGCGTCGCCGCCTTCAACAGCGACAACCTCAAGGCCCGCCTCAGCTTCCTCCAGAACGCCATCGGCGCCGTCCCCTCCGCCTTCGACTCCTGGCTCGCCCACCGCGGCCTCAAGACGCTGCACCTGCGCGCCCGCGAGGCCAGCAAGAACGCCACCACCGTCGCCCACGCCCTCGAGGCCTCCCCGCACGTCATCGCCGTCAACTACCCGGGCCTCGACTCCCACCCCCACCGCCACATCGCCCTCAAGCAGCACCGCGACGGCATGGGCGGCGGCATGCTCTCCTTCCGCATCCAGGGCGGCCACGCCGCCGCCGAGCGCTTCTGCCAGGTCACAAAGATCTTCACCCTCGCCGAGTCCCTCGGTGGCGTCGAGTCCCTCTGCGAGGTCCCCAGCAGCATGACCCACGCCGGCATCCCCCGCGACCAGCGCGAGGCCGTCGGTGTCTTTGACGACCTCGTCCGCCTTAGCTGCGGTGTCGAGGACGCCGAGGACCTCAAGAACGACGTCCTCCAGGCCCTGGAGCTCGCCGTCGCCTTTACCAACGGCACCAACGGTGCCAATGGCAACTAATCCACCTTTTTCTCCCACTTCTCCATTTTCTCATCATCTTCTATCATTTCTCAAAAATTATTCTTGTTTTTTTCTTTTCTCCTTTGTCGGTTTCTGGTCATCAGGCCAACGAATCATGAGCGTTATCAAAACCTTATAGACGGCGGAAAGCAGCATACACAAACATCAGGTTTCACCACAGAAAACAAAAACAAAAAAGAGGCAAACCTGCAACCAAAAATGGGTTGCGCAAGAGGCGGAAGAAGCGGTATCGAACTGACTTGACCTCGCATCCTGGGTCTACGGGTTCCAGACAAGGCAATGTCTTTAATCGGTACACTTGAAAGCTGGGCATGGAACGGCGTGTCGGTATGATTCCCCCGATATGCGGGTCATATCTCCTCTCTGCGGTTTCACACACACACACACACAGAGAGACACTTTGCATTTGTTACTGGGCGATGGAGATGCGACAAATGGGTGTATGCGTATGGTAGTACGACTTAGACGGTTGAATGAGACGGCGTGAATGCCCACCATGGAAGTCCTTCACTATTCGGAGCTATTGACTTGATGTCTGTTGATCAATGTCTGTGATACCCTATGTACCTTATCTCGTCAACTGTAGGTACCATACGCAACTCGCTCCCACTGCATCCGTCCAAAAGATCATGATGATGCATACATAAGGTACTACACTTCACACAAAAAGAACCGCTCCTCACAATACACTTCACACACAAGCTCGTCAGGGCTTTCCGCAGTCATCTATTTCGCAAGACAGTTTTCCTACTCCCCTTCGCCTCCGCCATGTGAATATGGAATCTCAAAGCAAACTCAATGTAAAGACAAAGGCTCTTCCCCCCCGGGTCGACACGACGACCATTGCTACGCCTTCCACAGATTAAATGCAAAGGTGACCGTAATGGCATGCATCGGAGTGCACTATCCACTGGGCGCACTCTTTGTAAAACAAGAACCAAAGCGGCCGGGACAAACAAGGGGGAATAAAAACAAATATAAGAACGCGCAGCCATCATTAATCCCTCGATCATATTCGTCGTCTCGGGTTTCGTTAAGGGGGGGGTGGTATCAGGTTCCTGATGGGAAACAACAGAAAAAAAGTGTACTAGATAACAAATTGGGTTTACAGAGGAGCAAAGCCCCTCAACCAAGCATCGGCCCAGTGCCCTTTCTTCCTCCTCCACAGAGTGCATACCATTACCGGGGGACTGGGGTCGATAGACCAATCAGCCAGCAGCTCAGCTTCAAAACACCTCTCAGCTCATCTAGAGCATGTAGGCCATGATACCGGCAGCGATGGCAAAGGCACCAGAGCCAGCAGGGCCCAGGGTAGCAGCAGCGAAGCCGCTGGAGGTGGTCGACTGGGCGGCGCTGCTGGCAGTCTGGGCGCCAGTGGTTGTCGCGGCATGGTGAGTAGAGGCAGCCTTGGTGGTGGCAGTGGCGGCCGCGGTGCTCTGGTCCTCGGCGCTGCTGATCTCGGCGGCGGTGGGAGGGTTTTGGGTGGCGCACAGCTTCTGGATGTTATTCTTGCAGGCACGCTGACCGTCCTGGTTGCCGGCGTTGGTCTGAATGCAGTTGGCGTAGAGCTGCTCGCAGATGAAGGTGGGCAGCGTCTGGGTGTAGTACTGGAGACCAGGAGCCGAGCTGTTGGAGGCGCACGTGCAGTCGTACTTGAGAGTAGCCTGTGACAAGACGAGCATGGATCAGCGCATGTTCCCTGTTCCGCCCATAATAATACCAGCAGATCGATCTGCGGCAACGATTGCGGACAAACCCACCTGGTCGCAGTCGTTGTCATCGGCGTTGTTGTCGCAAAGAACCTGGCAGGTGTTGGTCTGGGCCTGGCACCAAACGGCTAAAGGCGAAGAAAAAAAAAAGAAAATTGTTAGCAAACGCTTCTTGGGCCGAAATCGCAACAAACAAAGCCTAGATCTCTGCTCCGGAGCTTTCGCGCAATTCTGCGCCAAAACACTCCGCCGCGAGGAGACACAGAGCCAGACAGTGAGAGCGTCTTCTTACCTCGCTGCTGCTGGGCAACAGTGTTGGGATCAATAGTCATGTTAAGAGAGCTCTTGTAGGTCGGGACCTGGGCCGACACCAGAGCAGCGGCGACGGCAACGAGAACAGCGGAGGATCGCATCTTGAGCGTCGGTTTGGGGGTATCAAGTTAAGAGATAATAAGAAAAAGAGGCAGGGCACAAAGACCGCAGACGAGGCAAAACTCCAAGAACGGGGGCAGAGGCTGCGAAACGCGAGGCGGGCGATGGGCGTCAGAGAAGACGGGCTATTATGCTGATGCTGAATGCGGATGCGGGTGATGGAGTTGTGAGAAGGAGGAAGAAAACAGCAGCCCCGGTCGGTCAAGGATTTTTTGTTCTCGGTTTACTGGGTCAAAGGCGGGAAGGGAGGGAGGAAAAAGGAAGAGCCAGAGGCTTGCCAGCTGTCAGGACCGTCAACCTAAATAAGAGAGAAAGGCGACGAGAAGAGCAAGGGCGAGGCCGACGAACAGACCATGGGAAAGCGGCAACGGTTTTTCTGGTTGCCCACTTTCAAGGTACGAGTACTGGTACAATCCGGGACATGCATGCACGGGGCCCAGTCCAAGTAACGTGGCTGGCATTTCCGGCATGGCCTTGGACCTCTATTCAGGTATTATTACTGTTTCGCCCTTTGTTTTCCTGCTCTTCTGCTCTGTCTTTCCTTCCTCGCCCAAAGTACCGCGGCCTCCATGCAAGTACCCCAAGTACCTCGAGTGACTTCAGGTACGCCAAGCCCCGAGCTGTCTGATAGGCCAGGACCCGCCAGGGCCAGACATGCGCCAGGGCACAGCCAATCAAAGGCCGCAATGGCTGCCACCAACGCCGAGTTGTCCGTGTCGACTAACGACCGTGGCCAGGGATGCTGGGCTTTTAGGTGCCTTTTGGAGCTGCTGGGAGAGGTGAGAAAAGGGCGGGGGTTTCCTGTCATGGTGGTGTGGGCGGCATCGTATGGGACAAGCGTGAAGGTACCTTTTGGAGGTGAAGAGGAGGAGGACGAGACTTGGCCGCTCTTCCGTTCGCTTAATGCGATTCCTCTCTTGCATGAGACGAAAGTACAGTACACTCGACGAGGGATTAGGTACTAAATAGCAGTAGTAGTACTGCAGCTGCTACGATGAATGGTGGCTTCGCGTGGCTGAAGCCTCGCTTCCTGCAGAGGGAGGACTGGGCGCCCGACGCATCTTGATGTCATGGATAAAGAAAGAAAGGCATCAAGAGAAGCGGGCAAACACCCAGCTGCGTTGCCGTGCTCTGTTCCACGTGGTTGAGCGCCGGTTCTGGACTCCTCTGTGCTTGACTGTCTGACTTGGGGCCTGTTTCCCAGGCTGCGCTGCGACGACCCTGTGCTGCCCTTTTTATTCCACGAGACGCGTTCCGGCGTTGCCATGGCGGCGACTCAACCACGAGTCCGACCTGGACTCGCCGTGGCATCGTGAGCCCACCACCCGCCAGAAAGCACAATGTCGTAATCGAGGCGGTCGCTGTCACGGCCCTATTCCGTATCCAGGATTGCGCGCCAAGGTGCCGGGAGTCTTAGTCCGCGGTCTAGTCGAGGCCTTTGCTTTTGGAGGTGCTGGCACTTCGAGCTAGCGGGATCATTTGTTCAGGGGGGACGATGTGGTGATGGCACGATAAGGACGACGCATTGCTTGGGTGGTTGGGAAAGGAATCGGACTGCTGTCGATTGACAACCGATTGCCGTCTAATGGGTCGCTCACTCTTGGCCCTCGACTCAGCCAAGACTCGAAAGGCTCATTCATCACCTCGGCTGTGAGAAACGGCGATGCTGCGGCATGCAGTTGTTGTGTGCGAGGCAACACGATGAAAAAGAAGGTTCGCTGTGGCACCCCCTCTCCGCCTCGTACAAGAAAGTCGTGCATGTGACCAGCGGACGGCGCACAGGAAACGGGCTGCCCTTCTGGTGTTGTTCGTCGTCCGCCGGCTCCCTCCGACTCTGATTGTTGCTCTTGGCAGAGACAGATCTGAGTCAACCATCTTCTGAAGGGGTTGTCGCCATACTATCCGTTGTCGCTGCGCATGAAGACCGTCAAGGTGCTCACCGCAGCCCTCAACATCACCACCAGTGTGTCACTGTCACTGTACTTGGAGCAACAGGCATACGACAACTTGAACTTCACCTTCAACACCACAAGGGCGTTCCACGGCCATGTAAACCCGCGCTCTGATCCTGCGTCGCCCGTACAAGTACAAGTACAAGTATTCCTCGGCTCCTGGACTAGGGCCACGCAACGTCGGCGTCGACGCCTCCCGCGGTTCTCACAACCAGCATCATTACTTTATAATGATGTACCATTCGCCGCCGACGCTCATCTCCTCTGCAATATCTTCTACCCGTGGAAAGGAAAATTCCTTGGAGCCGGATAGCCGCACAAGCGGATCGGGGAAGCCAGAAAAAAAAAACGACTCCCTTTTTTCTCTCATTGCCTGTGGCGGGAGCTTTCCATTTCGTTCCGTCCGCCAAAGAGGGATATAAAAAAAAAAAAAAAAAAAACGAAGCTTGCGTAGAGCTTCCGAGAGAGGCGGCCCTCGCCAATCAGACACGCCAATTGCGCCCCGCAACTCGTGCCGATTTCCCCTGGGCCACGCTTGGCGGTACCTGACAGGGGTCAGAGGTACTTCTGCACGGGCCCGCGGTACAAGCCACCCATCGTATCGCACCTCCCCCGGTCAAACTTCTGAGTCTTCTGATGTCTCCGACCATGGGTGTGAGAATGGACCTATCGCTGAAAAGGCCGATGAAACCTCCTCGATGCAGACAAGACACGACGCGACCAGACACGACCAGCCGAAGCACCACGGCACCACTCTTTCGCTTTCAGCCTGTATGGTGAAGTAGCTGGACTTGTACCACGATACCCAAGGGAGGAAGGTGCACCATCCAGAAGGTGAGATCTTCCCGTAGCTCATCTGGTACCTACGTAAGCACTCTTGTGAGCAGCCATCTCTGCATCTCCATCTCACAGTCGACTCCATCAGACGTCGATTTCCGACATGTGCGGGCGCCTCAACACCATCCTTCGGCCCTCGTCGATCCATCGCTGCACGATTGCGTGATGTCGCTTTTGTGATCGATGATCTTGATGATCGCTGGCACTTCCCTTTCGTCGAGTTCGCATGCCGGGGCTATTACTACTAATCTACCTTGCCTACCTACCTTACCTATACCTTATACTTCTATGTATTCCCTTGCACTACAGTCATCTTTGTGCTCGTGCTACGGCACACCAATCTGACGCCCGATATCCAATATTTGCCCGACCTTCCGCTGGGCTCCTATTCGACCATTGATAATCCCAAATTTGCAGCCGTCAACCAGTGTTTCGTGCCCACGCAGGTGTCCCTCATTCCGGCACTCGAGAGCCGAGCGAGCGGTTGAGCCCCCCCCTCCCTTCTTTGCCACTGCTCCGACCTGGCGGGCTCTACGGAGCACTGATGCTCGTCTCGAGGCTGGGCACATTTCGGTAATTTCAGACAAGACTCCCTTTTTCTCCTTGGTCCTCGCTCAGTCTCTTACTTTTATGTATGTCGTTCATCGTCGGCGTGCTGCGTGCGAGATCGGGCGCAGTCAGCTGGGCCCGGCGTCTCCCCCGCTCTCCCTATTCTCGACTACACGAGAGGGTCACGGGGTCAAAGAGGTCAACGCCAACCTTTTTCCTGCGTCGAGACTTTGCTGTCATGCAATTGACTCTTTGAGCACTTGTCCTCTGCTGGTTGACTTTTGGGGTATACCTGGTGGTTGAGGCTGAAGGGAGGAGATGTATACCTTGCATTCTGATGCCACTCTGTGTTCTGTTGTGTGATCCCTCATGATCCAAGGCTGGCTCCCCCTGACTCCGTCTTGCTGACTTGAGAGACGATACAAAGTCTGGCCATCCCTTCGACCCCGTTTGCCTCGGGACAGCGCCCCCCCTTAACGGTGAGCGTTTGGCCGCCCTGGCAAAGACGAGGCCTCTCTGTTCCATATCGCCAAATCTCTCTCCGCCTGCAAGATGCCGCTAGTCTCGGCCGCCAGCCGCCACAAAGCTCCACATTGTATTCAGATGAGCGGCCATTCCCGAGCTGCAGCTTATTGGAGTATGTGCTGACTCATCATACGGCATGACCTGGAGAAGTACATACTTACACCATCTAACATCTATTTAATGCATGCAAGTAATACATAAAAGTTCAAAGTTTGAAGTAATTCTAGGCTCATCCGAGTCACTAGAAGACGTATGCCTAGGTAATATAAGGTCAAACCTATCTACCACAGCGATCCTGGCGGTCGGTGAAAGGTAACACCTGATCTAGTGGACGGACCCTTTCTCAGCGCTATCGGAAGCGGTGCAACGCTTCGGTCATATTCACAACAATGAGGGCTCTTTGTTCTACAGTTTCCTCACACCGATGCAGGCAGCTCCCCATTCAAGACATGATTCAGTTGGGTCAATCTTCCCGTGGCCTAGCTTACGAATATCTGCAGCCGTCACTGGATGACCGCTGTGTATAGTATCTGATCAGCGGAATGGAAACCCTGTATCACGCTCAACTCCAGGGTAACCGTATCTCGGCGATCAAGCAAGGCGATAAGATAAGTAGCAGACACCCCTTTGGATACTGTGTAGCGCCATCGACGCCAAGCTTCCCGACGTGCATCTCGCCATGTCATTGCCAATCAAGCACATGCAGCCTGTTTGAGAAATACTGCCAAAACTGCCTGTGCCGCCATACTTCCAGCCTCCCCCCAACCATTTGCGCTCGGAAATCGAAGCCTGACGCCCACAGCCGCGCATCTCCTCCGTCTCCTCACCCTCTCCGGCCAGGCACAGATGCCTCCCGGCGCTCTGGCTCTGCCCTCCCCGCCTCCAGCCCACCAGCCGACGCGATGAATCGTCTGCCCACCGAGCTTATCGACGCCATCCTGCTGCACTGCGTCAACTCCGGCCCCAAGAATGCCGTCCTCGACCTCCGCCTCGTCTGCAAGGCCTTTGACCGCATCCTCAAGCCGTACGCATGCCGCACCCTCGAGCTCGAGTTCTCGCGCCTCAGCAAGACGAGCCGCCTTGGCCGGCCGCGGACGGATGCCCTGCAGACGGTGGGATACCACTGCAAGAGCCTCTACATTGACCTGATGGTTCTTCGCGACGAGAGTAAGGCGTTGCCCGGCGAGAGGGACCGCAAAGTGTGGTCGTGGTTTTGCTGACAAGCTCTCCCAGTGGAAGTCGACTTCCTCAACACAGTCTTTGCCCGCGTCCCCTGGATGATGGACTTCTGCCAGTCACTACAGAACCTCTACTGCATGGGCGAGATGTCCTTTACCGAGAAGGAATACTACCAGGCCGTCGAGGCGCTCCTCTTCAACTGCCGTGATATCGAGCGGCTGCGGCTGAGCCTGCCTTTCCAACTGGTGGGCCGACACTGCAACGCCGCCACCATCATCCTCGCCAACACCTTCAAGGCGCTGGCTTCGCGCCCGGAGGAGGACTCGGCCTCGATGAAGGTCCTGGTGTTGGAGAATGTCACCGATATCGCCGTCTGCCACCTGTGGATGAACCCCAGCGACGTGATGAACATCATGGCCACCGTGGCCGTCCTCAAGCACCTCGTTATTGCCCTCCGTCGGCACGAGACTGATCCGCCGCGCGTGAGCATGTTTGGGTCGTGCTTCTGGAACATCATCGAGCACGCGCAGCACCTCGAGACCTTGTGCATAATTGGCATGGAGCATGACGACAGGCCGCCTCGGGGACTGAAGCAGACCAGGTCCAACCAGATGGCCGTGGATGAGTGGAGGGCGCGGGTGCTGCCGCCGCCTCGGATCATGCTTGATAACCTGACGTGCCTGGAGCTGAAGCGAGTAGAGATCTCCCCGGACGTTTTTAGGCGGTTCACCGAGGAGTTTGGAGCCCTCATGGAGGAGCTGTATCTCAACGAGGTGTACCTGAAGACGGAACAGTCCCGCGATTGGAACTACAACTCGAAGAAGGTGCTGTGGGTTGGCATTGCAAACCAGCGGCCTGAAGAAGACGACCAGTGGATGGCCATGATGCTGCGCTGTACCATGCCCAACCTCCGCATCTGCCGAGCCTCGTTCCTTGCGTACGACCTATATATCCGAGACGAAATCGTCACCAGCCCAGACTTTGACCTCATTGACCCATGCGGCATGGCGCGTAGCCTGTCCCAGCGCTTTGTCGAAGTCGTGATGGGAATCCGTCAGCCTCCTACGCCGACCGGGGATCCCGTCGAGTACCTCCCCCAAGACTCTCGCGAGGACTACCTCCTTCAGCGACTCACGGATCGGCCCGACTATGTGCGGATCGTCGACTACGATACTAATGCATACCAGACTGCGGTGGAAAACACCACGTCAGGATGGCAGAAGAGCATCGACGGCGTGTTTACAAACTGCAACCCCAACACCCTCGATGAGCTGCACTACATTGCCGAGACGGCGTGCCAGGGCATGAATGAGATTCACCGACGACGCAACGAATGGACGGCGGGCAACAGCCTGGCCAACGAATATACGCACAACCTGTTGACGGCGGTGGATGATCCGTCCACCCAGTTAGAGTTTCTGACTGACGACCAACTTTTCGAATGATTTACTTATAATATCTTGATATTGCTACTATGGCAGGCTACGGGTTGCTTCTGCATGTTATTTGGCGTTGGAGGGGGGGCAAAGGCAGGCATAGGGATGGATAACACCGCATATTGTCGTTTACACTGCTCCATGCTGAAGCGGGAAAATGCAGTTGTTGATAGATTGGATTTGAACAGCAGCGCTGACTGCTGGATAATATTATACCGTCCGTTTGATTTGATGTCAATTCCACGTCTAAAGTGTTCCAAGCATGAGTTTGTGATTTATGATGGTGCTGTCGTCTGGGTAGATGAGTCTGAGTTATGGCTGGAAGGTTGCAAGTCAGTCGGACTATCTGTAGCTCGTCCATCAATGGTGACGGATGGTATCCCACGTAGGAGGAATTGGACTGGTTGCCGGCCCAGGCCACTGGATATGAAGATGCTGACTTGGACCCTGGCAGTATTACTGACATGATGATACCATGCGAGACCCGAAATATGTATATAAGTGTACAGATGACTCTCTTGTTGCTCTCAAGCTACGGGCTCTCTCGTCGTCTCTCTAACCCCCCGGGAATCGTCTCTACTCTTTGTGTCAAGTTCCAGCCTGAGCTGTACACTGAACATCAAGCGGGTACGATAACGTGGAATCCTTGAACGTACGACAATAGTTAAAATACTCTTGTACAATGAGCTCATCACAATCTACCTGCGACTTCCCCTTTACCCTTGTTTCCCTCGTTTCTAGCCGATACTATTGATGTTGAATGTTTGGGTTTGGGGATCGATCCTACCTTATGTTTAGAAAGGTTCAGAGTACTGCGAGAGCGAAACCGGGCAGAGTGATTTTTGTTTTGGACTTCCAGAGTCCTCTTGATCTGGGGAACCACGGAATCAAGTCGCTCTGTTGCAAGATTGTGCGTTTATTTCCTCCCTGATTAGAGGATGGGGACTTCTACGTTTTCGATATTCTATTTAAAGCGTGACACTGTCAATTGTCCAGAGCTGGCTGAATGCTTATTTAGATCCAGCTTGCCCTTTGGTCACGACAAACAAGGGAGCGGTTACAATAGCGTTGTGTATGCCTTGCCTTAGTCTGGACGCTTTCAGCTGATGCGGGCAAAAGGGCGAAGACGGACATCTTACAGTCTTGCTTGTCTATAACACACACACACACACAAGTCAACCATACAATAGGTACAAAAGAAAGCAGGGGTTGATGATTTAAAATAGAAATAGAAACGAAATGAAAAAACAAAAAGGCCCAGAGAAAGCAAGTTTTAAGACAGCTGCTAGTAGTAGTTAAGCAGGGCGCTGCATTCGTGTGCTATTTCTCACCTGGGTACCATTCACTCACTACCATACTAGATACTACTACTACCTAGGTACTACTAAATAGTAATGTCTCGGAAGTTGATCGGCTCTCCCTCCCTTTGCCCAACCCTCGATGCTAATGGCCGTTTGCACAGTAAAGCAGCGTCATGTGAAACACGATTTGCGGAGAGGAGAAAAACTAACTAAAACGAATAGTCACCTCAGCAGACGGCGATCCTTGCATATCAGGCACACGGTGTGCTTCTGCAATTGGATGAAAGCGGGAAAAAGAAAAGCAGGCTTTTTGTGGGATGCGCAAGAGGCCCCGTCTGAGGTGTCAAGTTATTCAGGTGTAAAGGTGTAAAGGTGCGGTGTGCTATATCTATTACTATACGTATGGTGTATAAGAAGCGAGGAGCAAGACTGTTATGCTTTTCCATTCTTTGGCGGATTCTGTGTTTCAACAGTCCATGACACTATCCCGACCTTGTTGCTCACGCGCTTCATTACCCATCCGCGTTCATCTAGGGATCTCGAAGATTGAGGACATTGAGTTACGAGCATTCTATTCGTTCGACCTCTCCAGTGGCCTACAGTCATGCTTCTGTCTAACCTACTCCCTTTTATGCTGGCAACATGCGTTGTTGCTGCTCCAGTCGAAGACATTCCTGTGGCCCCTCTCGTCAGTTTCCTTTCCCCATCTCCCCTTCATCTGCTCTCAAGCACAGAGCAATGCAATGCCGTAGCCCTCTGCTAACAGAACGCAACAGGTGACGTTGTATCGTGAATTTGGCTGGACGGGGTCTCAGTTTGACGTCCGTGGTCTGGACACTTGCGTCAAAGTCGCCAACCCGCTGTATGCACAGTCTTCATTGTTTGCCATGGCATATGAGAGAGAGAGAGTGTGAGAATTGTCTGCTAATGGATTGCAGATATGGCCATGTTCTATCAGCAAAATTGTGGCCAGATTCCCCCGCTTCGAGACTCTGCACTCTCTACTCGTGAGTTTCATCCCACAAGACGACTGGTGTGTCCGTTTTCTCTGTCGACTAAAAGAACTGTTACCTTTGTTTCTCTAGGTCTAATAATTGCGATGCTGCCACCGCAATCCTATACGTAACCACCTCAAACAGCCCGGTCAATATCCGCCGCAACACCGACGTCCGATCGGTCCTCTGCAAGGATATGAAGAAGAAGAGATAGCTGCTTCACCTTGTACATACAAACTACCGCCCTGTGTATGTACAATTGAAGAAAGCAGATCGATTTTCGCTGCTATCAAAGGATGGGAATAGGGGGGGTGGAAAGGAAGCGATTGTGCATTGAGATATTATACACACCTCCTGAAATGACGGGAGACTTACGACAGAAAATGATGATATGATGCTCATGAAATGCTAGTAAATGTTGATTCAACGTTGACGTAGCTGATGACTTGGAGTGATCTGCAGTGCTGGGATATGGATTGGAGTAATCGCCGTCGTCATCGATTCTGCAAGCTGTACAGTATATATGTGTGTCTTCACACAACCGCTGCTAGTAGCACCAACAAGATCTCATAGTGTTATTACGCGAATCCCATAATTCGGCACTGCACTACTGGATAATGAAGAAAGAGGGAAACAATGCGATGATAATCCACCTAAGCCGGATGGTCCCCCAGATATCAAGTCTCGGGTATAACTGGCCCGTTCCCGGAGGCTCGCCGGACTATCCGTGATCATCTCCCGTCGAAAGGAGAGATATGCGAGCCAAGAGGGCAAGAGACTGCTGATCTGGAAGCATTTGATCGCATGATAGGCCCTCATTAGGCATGGACAGTCGCCGCACATTCCTGAGGGATAGACATTGTCTCTCCAAGGGGCGGTCTAACGTTGCCCGTATGGAGTACTACTTGTTGGCCCTCGTAGGTATTGCTTGTACATAGTACTGGAAACGGTCTGCTATGCACTTTGCTTCATAGAGGCCTTTGAATTTGCTCGGGGGCCTCTTTGACCTGTTCTCAAGACTACGATGTGTGCAAAGCGTCGTTGTATAGCAAGCAAGATATGTCTGATAACAGGCTCAAAGCTCCGTTCCCTGAGAGGATCTAGAGACTTCCGTATAACCGCGTAAATGGCATCTACTAATGCTCATGAAGCATCACTGCTCACCAATCTGTAGATGGCAAGTACCTGGCCATGCTGGGTTTGTATCGATCTGAGCAGTTTTGTGTGGCCTGCAGACAATACTCATGAGTTGCAGTTTCATGACGATGCACCCATCTCCTCGGCCTTGACTAATAGCGAGCGGTCGGAGCAATACAAGCTGTAATGCTCCAGACATGGGTGATGCTGGCAATATCATAATGTTTAGACAGGCCAAGGATTTCGCAACTCCGACTGGCCGATCTATAATCGCAAGTATCAACAGGCGGACGGTGTGAGAAATTCCTCGAGATGAGACAATGGAACAAAAAGTACTCATCACATGCTTCACTTGGCCTAGCATCTATGTCTTATGCCGCCCAACAGCCAAAAGTTCTAGATTCATGAACAATCTCTGGAGGCCGGAAGCGGTATGCACATAGTATATCGAACTCTTGATAGACCAACTTGATGTATATATAGGCGACAACTTTGAAGCTATGAGAGGGCATCGGTAGTTAACCAGATAGCCATGCTATAACAATAGGAGAGGTCAGTTAGGCTCTTTGTCTGTACATACAACACTGCTTGGAGATGTGCAGCAATCTGCAAAAGGACAACTGCAGAGTGTGTCGAGAACGCATTCCAGACAGGATGAGACAATCAGATGACATGTCTCTGGCGGGTGGCGGGCCGACGCCGTCTCACTCTCTCTACATTGAGACCATCTTACGATTGTAAGTATTAGACATCAAAATCGAGAGAGAATTAGTACGCAGGCTTCACGTATATATATAGCATATATATACACTCGTAGACGTGTGTGCTGAGATTGACCCCCTGAGCTTCTGATTGCAAATCCCCCCCCGAATCCTACAACTTGCCTGTATTTCCACCACAAGCCGTAGACAGTCGCAATCATGCATTTCACTCAGCTGCTCCCGTGCATCATTGCCTCTGCCTCGGTCGCAGTCGCCCAGCTCATCCCCGTCGGCCCTATCGTGAGTCTGCCTCTCTCTTCATGGGCCCGTTGCGAGGCAGACGATTATAGTGATCGCTAACGACAGGTCAATAAAGGCAACATTCTACACTGAGCCAGACTACCAGGGCAATTCCTTCATCGCTCTCCGAGTCGACAAGTGTCTTCAGCTGCCCCAGGGCATGTAAGTCCCCCCCATCATCTCCCATCCTCTTTTCGCCTGACGGCCGTAACCCATCAGCACCGTATCAACTCTGCTCCCGAGGTCAAAGACAGTCTCCTCCAGGGCAAATGATGTGCTAATCAATGCTCTTTACTCGTATAAAGCGTCGGAAACGTGAGCTCAGTCCAACTGCAGCAGTTCCCAAGCCCCTACTACGTCTCCTGCACCCTTTACAAGTGAGTTCAATTCTTGTCTCCCTCTCATCCTATCGGATATATACATCTCCCTCTTTCTGTCCCTTTTACTGACCCGGGGGGCTTTCTCCTTCTACTCTTTGCAGCGAGGATAACTGCCACAATCCGGCAGCTTCGGCCATCTACTACGCCATCTCAATATTCGACAACAACTACTTGCCTGATCACAACGTTCGATCGGTTTCTTGCGCGTTGACCCGGCTTTTCCCTTGATTGAAATGAGGAAGAAGTGGTCGGACTTATGGTGGAGGTGTTGTTCTAGATGAAACCAGGCAAAGGGACGACGCTGTTGCTTCAATCACGAGAAGCTGTATGGATGGGCATTCTGCATGATCTTATGATGATTGTTGAACTTCACTCTTAGAGGAGCAATTATACTCGAAACTACGAATCCCTGAAATATGCCCTTCGACTCAGCTTGATCCGGCTTGGACACTCTCCTGAAACCTTTGCAGCCACACCAGCAACTCATTTCATTGCTACACTTACATGCCAAGGCGAAGTCTAGACACATAAAGGAAAAAAAAAAAAGAGTACAGCATTTTAACTATGCGATGCAAAAAGAGAAAGTGGTGATTCCGCCCGGGCTCGAACCGGGGACCTTTTCGGTGGCGTTAAACGTGTTAACGAAATGTCATAACCAACTAGACCACGGAACCAATCGTCTTTCATGCTAACTTGTAGCCTATCCAATCTCATATCTCATGATTGCAACTGTCCGTGAAGCCTTGGCGGAGATGGGCATCTGTGTAAGTCGCAACAAACTTGGCAGCGAAGAACATAAGCCTTCTCTTCTCACCATTTCCAAGTTTCCCAAGCAAAAGTGCATGCCATATCTTCTCGTCGGATAAGTGACCACCTGCGTATCCTTCAGACCTCGCCTTCTCCAGCTGGCTGCCTCCCTCCTTGATTCGACCTGGAGCACGAGCGCAGCTTTTAGCATTCAACCAGATCCGACGCAGAGGAATCGAGCACACGGGCAAACTCTGTTGTTCTTTCCGTCTCCGATTACACGTCATATGAACACTTTTACAAGGATTCTCCCAAGAGCTGCTATAAGTTGTGCGCAAATTCGACACACCTCTTGACTCTGAGCGCACAACCTACATGGGAGACTGTACGTTTCGCCATGGTCTCGCCATATGAATAGCTTCATTGAGCTGAGCTGGGAGGGAGGCTATACGAGGTATGTACGATGGCGATGTGTATGAGCCAAGACGGGGTCAGCAGGACCGCCTAAAGGGGAATAAGCTGTGGTATGTGCCCAAGCTGAAGTGCAAAGCTCCGAAATGCCAACTCTTGCCCAGTCAGCTCATCACCTAGATTGAACACGATCTATTGTTGGCAGCTCTCGTTCGGTGGGCATTTCCCCCCGGATCTCACTCGGCCGTGAATGCTTATTCGTGCCACGAGCGATACTACGAGAGAGATGGCAATGCTAGCGTAAAGTGTAAACATGGACGATGGGACAAGTGAAGAAAAAAAAGGCTCGGAGAGTTGAGTGTTGCCGCGGTGAAGGATCGTGGTGAGCTTTCATTGGTAGGTCAGCGTCGTGTGGCTGATTGTGAAACGGACAGGCATCCTTGTTCGAGAACTTTGGGGTAGAGAGACGCATGAACAACTTAGTGATATCGGCCCGGAGTCTACGCTCTCTTCACTCCAAGTCGTTCTTTGACAAAGCACAAGGCTTATGATCAATCAGAAGAGGATTCTTCATGGGCTTCGGGGAGCGGGATGATGATGGCTCTACAACTAAACGAGACATGAAACGCTGAATGGCCGTGTCATCATGGCTCATCGATGAAGAGATGCTTGAACGGGCTTTCAATGGATTCACGAGGAGGTATAGCCTGATGCTTGCAGGTTGTTACTCTCTGAGAGGCCAAGTACTTACCAGCCAACGACTGCTTCGACGGAACCGTTTACAGCATGTCTTTCAGAGACCAATCGGAGATACGTATCCTGCAGAAGATCGGTCGAGCTGGCATATGAGTGCTTTGCTTGAGATTTAGGCAGCGAGGAGACACTCGCTCGTATCAACGGAGAGACCAACCCGGCTGATAGAGCCATTTGTGAACCATTGATGTAGAATGTTGTAATGCGATCCAAGCTGCACCCTTCTTTTCACATTAGCATAAGGAGGTGATATGGTTAGACTCGGAAACCCATCGCTTTGGAGCATTTGTTGGGGCAACTATACTCACATGAATAACCACTTGTCCGTCGTACAACAGAGCTGTCATTGCCAACAAGGCTGATGGAACGGTAATAGTCACACGAGTAGTCTCAACAGGATCCGTCCGTGCACCCGGCTAACGACAGCCTTTGCTCTACGATCTGTATGATGACGCTTGATACCGGCCAAGCGCTTCGTATCATAGGATTCGACTGCATGCAAAAGCGGCCGCAACCCTGCGTGCCGCATGGACGCTGCGGACATAGGAATCGAGGTCCGTCAGATCCGATACAGTATTAAAACGATACCGCCAGCGAATACACGACCCAAAAGTTATCAGCTCATCGAACGCACGGATAAAGAGCTCCTTTGGCTTCGGAGCAGACTCCGCGGACATGCGCCTATGCCGTCAAGATGCGGCGCTCCCAGATGCGTAGATGTCGCATTCGCGTGGTGAGACTATGGTGCACGACCCAGAGCCTCATCATGAGTCTTCAATCGATGGGCATGCATGAGTGGGGGAGCGCGGGCTGGCGACTGATATTAGGTGTCTATGAACGGGTGACTGACCTTTCGAGCAGTCCTGTCAGAGAACTGGTGCGAGGGAATATGAGATGCAGTACAGAGTACATACTTGAGATTATCGGCCGTCGTCATCATGGACTTCTGTCATGTTGAGCGTCCGTAAATCATTGCACGTCATTGGTCACGCACAATAGTAGGGTGTCGCAGATATAGTATGGTGCGGAACAGAGACGAAGCAGTTTGATTAAGCCCACAACGTGGGTTGAGCGATCTCTCTCTGTTGCTCGTCAATCTCTCAAGCACCGCACTGTGACAACCTGTTTGGCATAATATCATGCACACCGTTTTGCAAACTCTCTTTCAGCCCACCAAGCCTAAGAATCAGGATGGGCGGCGGAAGGGTTGCCGTCCGATCATAGCACCAGCCTTTCTTCTGTTTGATATGCTGCATATTGGAGCAAGGGTCAGCTGAACTTCCCTTGCAGAGACTGCACACGAGGGCCAGAGAAGTAGTCCTGGACGGTTCGAGTGAGACTCCGCTTGCCCCCCTCCAAGACTCTCGCACCAGACGTTTTGCCACAGTGAGAAAAGAGCAAGGGTGGGCATGAACGGATCGAAAGAAAGAAAAGAGAATCTCGCTAGAATTGGCGGTGAGCGTTAGAGAAGATTGCAGAAGGCTTTTCTGTCTCTGTTCTTCATGCGTGAGCTTACCACCCACTTGCTCCGTCTTCAATGTTCCTTTCTGGCTGTCCCCTGTCTGCGTGGTTGCTGTGCGCTCTCTTCACTCCGCACGTCATCATCTGGTGCGCTGCTCTCGACTCGGTAGAAGTCGAGCCCTCTCCACACTTTGGCTCAAGTGCTTCTTGGCCTCAGGTGGGAAGACAGGCAGACAAGACGACCGAGAAGGTAAGTGACCCGGTGAAACGAAACACCAGCAGCAGCAGCAGCCTGTGGCACATGATCGCATGGATCAAGGATGCACAACCAAGCTAGAAAAAGGTGCCTGGCCAGAGAGCAGTGGAGAAGCGGAGCCCCTGCTCGAAACAGCCTCGATCGTTCAAGCCACCTCGCGATGGACGGCCTCTCCCGTTGATACGCCAGCTCCACGCGGAATGCGAGGCCAGAGTTGCACCAGACCAGCCGGCAATCTCACTTCCCCTTCTCTTCGCTTCTTGTTGGCCGCGAAGATGCTTACCTGCAAAGCACGCGCATCTGCCGCCCCGAGCAGGCCGGGCCGGTGTTATTTTGCACCTCACAGGTTCCTCGCCCACCCTTGGCAAGATTGTGCTCAAGAAGATGGACAATCTTCCCAATCCTGACTGCTGGAGGAACGACGGGCATTGAGAGCATGTCAGCCGGACGTCAAGGATTGCAAGTGCGAAATACTGTAGCAGAACAATCATACCTAACTACATAGTCGTTTATGGACTCCGTACTGTACCTCCTCCACGATGCTGGGGTTCCGGAGTCCAAGCCCAGCACTAGAGTGAGGTGATGAGCGCGCCGAACCTCTCCCAGCCGCAGCCATTCAGAGCTAAAGGGAAGAAGCTCGCAATCCCGTCCAGCCCGTCTCGTCTCTGGAGCATCTCTCCTGAGCTGATCGACGGGAAAATCAGCCGTGGCGTTTGCAAGTGCTTCAGATTGCCTAGCGGCTCGAGTAGCTCGTCGTTAGTCTGTGCGGAGCAGCATGGAATTAGATGCCAGCTCACACGGCTGAAATATCAAACTGGGCGCCAAGTCAAAGTGCAAGCGCTATTACTGTACCTTCAGACCATTAGACGCCATTAAGCGTTCAGCCCGTGGTCATCTCGGCGCATTAGAAGCGCTAGCTTTCTTGACCATGGGGAATACCTTGGGCAATAACGCAGCTGCTTCCCGTTGAACAGCAGGGCTCTTCTTATCGACACGAGCGCCAGGGGAGGAATAAGCGAGCAGATGTACTTCATAGCTCGACACGAGCAGAAGGGCAATATCATCCGTTCTGAAGATTTTCAGATTGGGACGCTGGAAGAGCAATTGGCCGAGATAGTCTTCCCAAAATGACTTTCTGACTGAGCCCTTCATCTCATGCCACAGAGGCATCCCGTTCGTGTCTGGCAGAGGCTCATGAGGAGAGGTTTCTAAATGGACTGGCTTGACGCAATCGTATCCCACTTGCTCCTCGATTCGACCATCCAGCCCCAGCTGCGGGCGAGTCAGACTTTGAAGATCGCGAGCTCTTGGTGTATGTACTATTACTCATGAGCCCTTGCATATGCTTCCGGTTCTGCCGGCTTAGCAAACGTAGCTGCGAGGCGAGCCTTCTGAAAGGCGTGAGAAATGCACTTTCCAAGGTAAGCTTGATTGTTCCAGCAAGCAGTGCTTGCAGTGTCTCTTTGTGCTTCGTTGATGGTTAGCTTAGCACAGGCACCTAGTCGCCAACTCAAATCGAACAGAGACAGACTGGTAATTTGGCCATTCAGGGGCTATCACTGATCGTGTTGGTGTAAAAACCCAAGCACTTGCTCTTCCTTTCCCCCTTTCTGCCTCATCTGGCTCACACCGCCGAAGAGGCAAACCTTGACCCCAGATGGAGACGGCAAGATGGGTCGATGCATGTCCGAACTCACCTTGAGACCGACCTGCAGGCTCCATTTGAGCGACCGCTGGGATTTGGCAAGCCGAGAAAGTCCGAGCCGCCGTATCTGCTTTGCTTCGAGGACAGTCGAGACCTCTGCAGGCAAGTGTGCAATTGTCAGCGACGGGGAGATACTAGAAGGTGGGATTGGTGCTCGCCGAATCTGCAGTGAGCAGGTGTTGGGTTGCAGCGCATAGTGCTAGTGATGCTGGTGCTAGTAGGCGCATGCATTGCCGTCACGCATCGATGCAAGGGGGCAGAATTTGACCGAGACGAGTCGACGCAGGGCTGGGCAGGCTGTGGGCGACGGCTGTGGGCGGAAAGGCTGACGAATGCTGATTGCTTTGTCCGTGGCCGATTGCAGATGGATGAAGTTGAAGCTGTCGATATGGTGGTCTTCAAGTTGTTATCACGGGTAGCTTATCTGATAACAGGCAGATTACGGGCTTCAACCGAAGTTGGGAGGGAGGAATGCTTGTCGTTCCTTCCGATGCCGCACATGATCGTTGCGCATCTGGAGATTGTACCTATACAGCAGTCACGACATCAGCTGCACCAGGATCAATGATCAAGTACTGCGCAAATGGTAGCGCGATATCACTGAGACTCGGAACGTGCGGCTTCCAAGCGACGATGGTAGTGCTTGGCAGTACCTACTGACTATCTACTTGGTTCATCATTTGTCCTGTATTGATGTGAACAGAAGAAAAGACAAACTTGCAACTTGATCACAGGTTTCACCTCCACGAGGGCATCTGGTCGAAACTCGTCACATACCTGCTCCCGGATTGCCCGGCGGCCTGCTCTTTTTGGGGCTGGCCATCCGAGCCTTGGCCCAGATTTCCCTCAATCCTACTCTGGTCTTGGTCAGACAACTGCCGACCCAATGCGAGATTCTGTGCCTGGTTCCTGGCTGGCCCCAGCCGTGCCATTGATGCCGTGCAGACGATAGACGAACGTCGAGACGAGGCAGATCAGAGCGAAACGAGAAAAAGGACCGCGACCGGCCCTGCTGGAATGCGCCGTTCGTCGGGCCAAGCGTAATAGCTCTCGCCCAACAGCCAATCGAGCTGCGAGAGTTGCCAGAGCTGCTAGAGCTGCTACCCAGAGCTGCAGAGCTGCTCCTCAGAGCCTTCCCGTGACTGCGTGGCAAGGCGACATCCAACGGACTGGCAACCCTCGGCCGCCCTCGATCCGTCAATCCTCCAGATTCCCCCAACCAGAAGCCGCCGCCACGACGCTTCATCCCTCGCGCAGCCCTTTCGAGTCAGGACTGTGCTGTAGTGCCACTGACACGTCTGCTGCGAGATGCGCCACGTTTCCCTGCGCCATTGCCAGGGGTCGGGCGACTAAGGCGCAGAAAGACGTTATTCGAGACCCCACGCGTCTGCCAGCCCCTGATCATCCCCCAAAGGCGGACCCCAACCCGGCTCGGAGGGCCATGGCACCTGATGGCGAGCGACTCGTTCGCCAGGAGCTGCTGTTGCTGCTGTTAGAGGTAGAATGGGGGCGTCGACTAGCCGGTTGGAATGACGAGATTTGCCATGCACCCACCTCTGGCCATCCACACCCATTTCCCACGAACCATTTGGCTCAATGGCTGGATGGGCTTGAGGGGTTGCGTCCATGCAGACGTGCTTGCTGTGCCATGGCTCAATAGCTCAATAGCCTCGTCCGGGCTATCTGCAGAACGGTCAACAGCTCGGCACACTAGCAATTCTTCCACATCTCGCGCTGGCCACCCTCTACAGCCTTTCATCGCCACCGTACGGCTAGCCTCAGATTCAGATTGGAGCTCAAAGCTTCGACACGGCTGCTGCATTCTCCATACTCTCCAGATGCGGAGAGTTCTATTACCGGAACAATAGCCAATGCTCGACCAGGTGGAAGCATGTGTACATACTCGCACAGGAACAATCCGCCGTGAAGACTTTGAGCTGTTTTGCATTGAACCAGGGTCAGCGTGTGGATCGCTGGTGGGCTCGTTCCCACCCCCTGGACTCGCCTGCGCTCCTTGACACCATCCGCAGAAGGTGCAAGAGGTGTCATGGTCTCCAGTGGACGCACACTTGTACGGATTCCGTCTATGCTCCGTACTGTCTATACCGAGTACTGTACATCATACGAAGCCTTCCAGCTAGCATGAGCACCGTTCCAAGGTTGTCGGCAGATGCACGCACACCCGCGTGCGGCTCCATGATCTTGCACCTGGACAATCATATTAGTATCCCATCCACCCCTTCCTTCCTGCGACAGCCCCCCTCTTCCCCTCTGCTCCCTCTGCTTCTAGAGGAACCTGTGCTTGGGACGCCGCTTCCAAGTACTTGCTCTTTGTCAGGGCCTATTCGGGTTGGAATATGATTCTCGAGCCTTTGAGCGTGAGTTGATGAACCGCTGGCTTTGCATACCCTCATATGTCCGATCTTGTTTTGAAATATTCCCACGACATCTGGGAAAAGTTGTGAACATCGCAAAGAGAGAAGATTAAAAAAAAAGAGAGCTAATCGGTGGGCACCAGTTGCCGTTCGCTTCTGCTTCTTCTGCTTCTTGATCCTTCTTCAGCTATTAGAGGAAGGGAAGCCAATCGCTTTTTCTCCTTCATAGCTGGCTCGCCAAGCATTGCCTGCCGCTGTCACCCGAAGGACGGCACTGCTCTTGTGCTGGAAACAAAGCTCTCACTTGGACATTCTCAATCTCAGCATTGATTGGCCAATCCATACCGTCGTTAAGGAGAGGACGACCTTGAGGCCACAGGGATATCCGCACACTCGCTTTCCTGGACCAGAACACAAGATCGGAACATACATCGAGTCGTTCGAATGGACTTGTGATACCGGCATGTTTATGCCTTCCATCGAACCTTGACTCGGAAGTCTGCCTCTCACCCGCTGGAAGAACGACACAATCAGACGGCATGGCTTCATCTTTGTCACATTCAGACCTCACCATCATCTTGGCCACAGTCATTCCGGGCGTATTCGTGATTCTTCTGGGTGGCTTCATCTACTACCGGGTTCAACGACGCAAAGCTCGATTCCGTAACCGAGGGATTACGCCGATAGACGACGAGGAAATTGAGTCCTGGAAGGTTGACCGGAGACATACTGCTGGAAGCGACGAAAAGCCGCCACACTCCCCCGTTTTCACCGAGTCGAAACGAGCTCAACACAGCCACCATGCGAGCTCATCCATTGGCTCTGCCAAGTCCCCAGCCGTCATTGTATACCAGAATCGAATCTCGGATGAGCAGCCTCCCTTTTCCCCCGTCCGCGGGAAGATGAGCATCGATATCCCAGCGTCACCGGTTCTTGCCCGAGCGCCAAACTCTCGGCCGGGCCTAACAGACGAGACGGTCCGGGGCGACCAAGCCTACGTCAACATCAAGCGTGCTCCATCCGCCCGACTGTCCAAGGCCAACCCTCCTCGCCATGCTCGGACCAAGAGCTCACGGAGCACGCGAAGCAGCTTCGGCTCGAACGTGAGGCGTGACCAATGGTACGGCCATGCTTCAGAGCAAAACTCGCCTCGGCCATCTGCCGATATGTACACCAAGTCAGGGTCCCCCTCAGCCCGCAGGGCCACCATCTCGACGCCAGGAAGCCATGACACTTTCAGCTCTCGAGATGACGACTTTCCATTGACTGGTCTCTCACCACGACCAGCGGTGCTCAGGTCAGATATTGGACGGGCCATTGGCTGAATGGTCGTAGCAAGTCATGACCCGATGCAGTCTGAACACTCTGCTTGGGCTAGGATGACTTCCGGATAACAATTTGCTCCAGTCACTCGGATGGGCAGCAAAATATACGTTTCGACAGCCATGCGGAAAACGACAACGATGACTGTCTTACACACGCTTCTCGGGTGTAAGAGATGTTGTCTGTGGATCACCGCATTTACAAGTTACTTTTTTCACACACGTTTCCTTTCATTCTATCTCTCTTCTACTTCTTCTTCACCATTGCGAACTTTACTTCTACATACGCGGGTCTCATCACTCCTGCGGAGGATTCGTATGCCGGGCACCTTTGATCTCTTCATTGGCAAGCGACGACGAATGCAGGCTGAGCCTTTTTTTGTTAGCATGATTGATTTGATTAATGGATGACGGATATACCCAGTTTGTTTGGTTCTTTCTCTCATTTACCACCTGCGAGCGATGGACGCTGCCGGTGAGGCTTTCTTTTATACTTCCCAGCAGCTGGGGACATGGACACGGTGATGGAGGAGGTGGAGCAACTTGGAAACACGAGAAAAGTTGATTTTGGCCAGGGGGTGAGCTTGGACACGAGATTTCTCTCGATCTCCTTGAGCAGACTACCTTATGGCAGGGGGGAAAGTGAGTGAAGTGGAAGCGTCTTTGGAGCAAGTCGACTACACAACAGAATGCTATAGCCAAAATAACCACGACTTGACTACTCTGTACTTGAAAAAAAGTATAGCCAAATGCCTCACACAAATTCGGTCCACAGAGTGAATACCTAGGTAGATACTGGTTGGCAGTAGGTGAAGATGAATGATGTGTATTTCTTAGAAACGATGCTTGGTGGTTTTACCGAGCACCTCGTACAAGGTACCATTGGAGAGCGCGGGAGTAGACAGGCGGCTGCGGTATGGGGTACAAGCGCCCTGGTGCTCAAACCACTTAACGCGCCACGGCGGGGGGGCCACAAACGCGTCTAGCTCACCTTCTACCTTCTCGGCGCTTGTCCTTTCTTTTTCCCCGTCGGTTTTCTTCCGTCAAGCTCTCCGTATCAGAAGATCGTCAAGCCCATCATTGACGCAGAAACCGTTTCTCTACCTTACTATATTGTATCAATACACCCATTATCCGAGACGAAAAGGAGCAGCAGTAGCCCAGAGAACCACGCTTCTACCCTCGCTCACTTCTACGCCCTAGAGCCCCCCTTCATCTGAGGCGGAAGAAGAAAAAAAAAAAAACCCCCAACTACGAAAGTCGAGTCACGCTTTGAATATACGAAAGCTGCCCCGGTTGATTCGTCTCTTTTTACCGACTGCCTGGACCGCCTTTTTCACCGTGAATTACTGAGAGGTGCTGCGTTGGCCTTGTGTGCTTTTCCTGCTTGGAGAGGGCGCGTTGCGTGTCGATTCGACCTCCTTGAGGCTGGGTTAAGAGAAGCGGATATACCCTCACTCGGGGAGTTGGATCTGGACCATTCTACTTGGCTTCTTCTTGGTCCCTCCAAAGTCTTTCGAAAAACTCGCCGCCACTTTTTTTTTTTTCCAAGTCTGCTCGACTGATTCTTCTTCCCAAGGCTATACTTGAAGAGATTACCGGATTGACATTTACTTCTTCACTTATTCCTGGCTTCAACTCATCGAATATTTCTCACACCGGCGATACTCAACGCGAGAACAGCCCCCCCCGAGTGACGCATATCCTCACCTGCCCTCATCTCGTCCACCCTAGGCTCTTTTTTCTTTTCACTTTCCCCAGAACCCACATCCTGTTCTTGAAGCAAACTTCTTCAATATCCTCACTCCCAAAAGAACAGAGCAAAACATGCCGCCTCGAAAGTCCGACGTCCGGCCATCCACCCCCGTGGCCGCTGAAGAGGCCTCTCCTTCTTCCGCAAAGGGTGCGCAGACACACGACAAGGCGGACAAGAAGGATAAGGACAAGGAAAAGGATAAGGATAAGGGCAAGACGGAGGATGCTGTGACCATAGAGGTGAGAAGTCTCCTGGTTCCTTTCCTCGCTTTTTCTTTTCTTCCTTTCATATGCTTGTGCCAGCGTTTCCTTCTTCTGCCAATCTTCCATGTACACACATTACTTCTCTGAGCTCGGATCGATCTAGCCTGAGAAATGCATACTTGCTGCTTTCTACCCTCGCAATCCCCCTTGATGATACCCGTGTTCCATTCAGCGGCCAGGGAAGAGCAACAGCAGCTCCGAGCAATCAGTACGAGTCGTGTATATTCAAGGCTGACTTTTGTTTCTCCAGGACTTGAACCTCCCCAAGTCAATCATCACAAGACTGGCAAAGGGAATCCTGCCCCCCAACACCCAAATCCAGGGCAACGCCATTCTGGCCCTGAGCAAGAGCGCCACCGTCTTCATCAGCTATCTAGCTTCACAGTAAGTCTCTTGGGGAAAAAAAAATTACCTTGACTTTGTCAGGCATTCTTCATGCTAACGATTCTGTTCCCCATCAGCGCCAATGAAAACACTGTTGCTGCTGGCAAAAAGACGATTCTTCCCGCAGACGTCTTCAAGGCACTAGATGACACTGAGTTTTCGTTCCTAAAGGGGCCTCTTGAGGCAGAGTTTGCCAGTATGTCCCATCAGTCCTCAACGACAACAACACATATCCTCTCATCCTTCCATCCACAACATCAAACCAACGTCTTTACACTTACACATCACTGCCATCTACTCTTTATTTTCCACTCAACTATATGCCGTTACGTTTTTTTGGTCTTTGATCTAACGTACCTCTCCCCCCTCTCCTTCAGAATTCAACGCCATCCAAACGGAAAAACGAACCTCATACCGCCAAAAAGTCCGCGCCTCCAAGCACGGCCCCGGCGGCGACGACACCGACATGGCCGACACGACCATGGCCTCTGAAGCATCCGCCGCCTCCTCATCCGGCCCGCGCGCCAAAAAGGCCCGCGTCGACCCTTCTTCTGCCGCCGCCGCCCATGACGACGATGAAGGCGACGACGATGACGAGGAAATCGACGCCATTGTCAATGACGATGACGATGTAGTCGATGACGATGATGACGACGAGGAGGACGACGAGGGCGATGAAGAAACGCAGGAGGATGACGAGGAAAACGCCGCTGGTGAGGAGGAGGAGGACGAGGCGGGAGACGGCGAGGGTAGTAGTGACGAGACGCAGGACGCGTTGGAGGAGCGGAGGAGTAGAGAGGAGCCTGATGAGGCGCTGGAAGGGGATGAGAGTGATTGAGAAATCCCCATGGGCCTGGGGTGCTTGAAAGTGATAGAGGGGTGAGAGAGGAGGCGCGAGGTTGAGGGGGGTGAGGCCTTTTCGTATCTTTGCCATCAATCTGAAATCTTGTCATATACTTGAGCCGTTGTACATTATCGCCCTCTTCACAATGGACAAGGTCGAAGACGAGGAATCTGTTACGTCTCTAGAACATCACATCAAGTCAAAGCAATGTCAAACAGAAACAACTCGAGCCCGAGAAGAGTTTCCATGTTCAACGATTTACCCTCGATTCCCCATCAGACTTCAACGGTCCCATTACTGATTATTACCGAGCTGCACGGTCGTCGCCACGCAACACCATGCATGACAGCAAGTAAACCACTCAGGCAGGGATTTACACACACACACATACATACCGCTCATTACGCCCTTGACACTGTCAAACAACACAACGTCCCAAAAAATAAAAGGAAAATCTCAATTTCTCTCTCATCAAGGTGGGGTGCTCTGACAAACTAAACCAAACCAAAGTGGTATCAACAGCAAACGCGAAACATTGTCCCCCTCCTCCATCCCACACAAGATTAGCCGTGAAGGAGATGCCAAGTCAGGAGTCAACCTCCCATCATGAGACCGTTACAAACAAAAGCGACACAACACGTAAGACAACATCCCTTGTCCAGATAATGAATAACATTCCCATCGCCTGGACACATACAAAACGTTCGGCCGTAAAAAATGGTGTCAACAAAAAGTAATAATGCAGGGGAAAACAAAAAGAGAGTCGTCGGATGCTTTACCATGGCCATTGCGGAAATGGAATGGGCCCCAGCTAGAGAAACATGAGACGTGGGATTCTTGTGCAACCACTGGTCCAAGAAGAGAAATAAAGCAAAGACAAAACGAGAGAAGAAAAGGGGGGATGAGAATGACAATGTTGGGTAGAGATGAAGCAACAAGAGGAAAGAAAAAAAAAACATCCTACCGACCTCCCTCCGACTCCTTTATCCTGCCTGAGCCAGATGCTGCGCATCTTGCAAAACGAGCCGCTGACTCAAGAAAGCAAAAAGCCGCTCCAACCAACCTGTATGCTTGGGGTATCTGGAATACTGCAGGAGCTCGGTCCCAGAAACGAAGAGAAAAAATGAAAGAAAGAGCAAGGAAAAATAAAATAAATGAAGTCGTCCCTTCAAACAAGAGTGTGCCGCAAAGGTAAGAATAAAGAAAAAGTGTAAGACAGGTGTAAGCATAGCGCACATGACGTTTCGTGCTCCGACAACAACGGCCTCACCTCCCCAAATCGTTTCAAGGCCTGCACTTCACAAGCGGTGCCTTTACTGCTGCTGCTGGGGAGTCCACCACTGAGACGGCTGGTGCTGGCCCGACCAGGCCTGCGAAGCCGACTGCGCACTAGGCGTGGTCTGAGGCATGTATTGACGTGGCGTCTGATCCGCGCCATACATGCCCTGGCTGGCGCTGTACTGCATGCTGCCCATGCCAGGGAACTGCATGCTGGGCTGCATCTGGCTGGCACCAGTCTGGCGCAGGTGAGAGGCCGGAGACTGCGAGGGATGCTGTGCCTGCGGCTGCGTGGTGTAGCTGCTGTAGCTGGTCTGTGGAGTCTGGGGGCTCTGAGACCACATGGCCTGGCTTGGCTGCTGGTAGCTGTAGCCAGCCGCTCCGGTGTTGATGGAGCCGGTGGAGCCTACAGAGGATGTTGGTTCGCGGATGCTCAGCTTGGTTGTCACAGGCAAAAGGGTCATACCTCGGATGGGAGCTTGGCCGAGCGCGCTCTGCGCATTGATGGACTGCGAGTAGGGAGCCGCGGTCATCATCATCTGCGGGCTCTGAGAGGAAACAACTCCGGGCTGGGCGATGCCGGCGGCGGTGGTGTGAGGCGAGTTCGACGGTCGGCTGGTGGGAATAGCCGAGTCGGTCGAGCCGGCGACGGGCTGCGTGAGGGAAGACTGGGCGGGTTGCTCGTGTGGCCGGCGCCAGATGCCCTGAAGGTAGTTGTCGCGCATCTCGCGCTGCTGATTCACGGATCGGTTGAAGTCGGCGGCGTGGTGGGCCTGCGAGTGAAGTTCCACCAGAGGGGAAGGCCTGGTCTGGTCTTGATACGGGGGTCCGGTGATCTCCTGTCGGGGCCCGCCCTTGACAATGCCGCCGTAGTCCCGGGATCTGTTGTCACTGAGGTCTGGTCCGACTGTTAATGCCGGCATTCTCGTTGCGCTTCCGGGTGCTCCCATCATACCTTGAACGAGGTGAGGCTGAGGCGCACCAGGGTACGGTCCAGGCGTGTTGTTATACACAATCTCCGTATGCGGGTTGCCCATCAAGACGCTGTTCTGCGCTGCCTCGGCGGCTTCCCTGGCCTTGGCGGCTCCGGGTCGTTTCTCGCCAGCGGGATCGGCTTCAGTGAAGCCTTGCTTACGGGCCTTTGTCTCCCAATAATCGTCTCGAACTCGGCGGCCATTCTCGATGACGCGGCTTCCAAACTGCCGGAACATGGACCGGGCGGTCACGATGGCAATCTGCCTCGAGCGGTACGAGAAGGGCAGAATCTCCTGCTGAACAAGGTCGTCCTTTTCGGCCTGGCTGGCAATTATCTTGTATAGCGACCTGTTCTTGTTAAACAAGAGGTACGAGTCTCGGTATCCCAGCACTCGCGCGCATTCAGTGGCCAGCATGAACAACTTGTCGCCGCGGTTTGGAACCAGGAACGTGCGACACCGGTACTGGCGGCCGCCAAGGAGCTGACCGTTTGGCATCACCTTCTTCTCACCGAACTCGTCCGTCTCACGCGGTATGTATTCATCGCCCGAAGGGTTGAGCTGATCAGTGGTATGATCGCGCACCGTGGGGAGCGCCTTGAGCGTCGTCTTGGGCGGCGTCGGCTTGGGCGGCAGTTGCGCCGGCGGGGCAGGGTAGGCTGAGGTGGTCTGGGTCGGCATCGCAGTGCTCTGGGGTTGAGGCGCTTGCGGCGGCGGGATGGCTTGAGGCACGGTTCCGCCGGGAGCTTGCCCCGGGGCCTCGGAGATGCTTCCTGCCGTTCGGGCCTTCATTGGTCTTATTCGCTTGTGCTGTGGAAAGCGATTCCCTAGAAAAGCGACGATGGTAGTCAGCGCGCGGCTCTCTCTCCAACATGCATGAAACCGTCTAAGTCTGGTCGCTTCATTCCCGTCTCCTCCCGTTCCAGAAAGGCCGTATTCTTGCGCGTCGTCGCACGGAGCAGGATGTAACATGTAGAGGATATCCGGAGACTCTGTGGAACGCGGTGCAGGACGCCGAGCTACACAAGATCTATCGCCGACATACCGTCATCGCCAGGCCGGTGTAAGTCGACGGGATCCGGGGACCGATTCCGCTTGACACCCCGAGGCGGCGCGCCGAGTATGTCTATGATGGTAGGCGGGTCAGCATGATGAAGGCGCGAGAGGACAAGGCTGCAAATGGCGCGCAAGGCATTGTAAACTGAAAGCGAAGAGGGGTGTAGCGTCGCGCAAAGTGAAGACAAGCTGTGCCATGAAGTTTTTTCTGTATGTTTTTTTTTTTCTCTGAGGCGGCGCGTGCAGTCAAGATCTGGTGGGGGGAGGGGGCCGACGTAAGAAGCCCGGGATGGAGGGGCAACGACGTCGAGAAGAGAATATATAAACATGATGGAAACAACAACTCACCAGAGTTGAGGGCAGCGGGATTGATTGTCGCACCGTCGGCGCCTGTTGGTTGTGCGGAGTACATGACAAGAAGATCCAAGCCAGCAGTTACGGCGGTGGCGGCAGCAGCGATGGCGGCGACGTGTCGTGAAATAGTTGGGCTGGCGACGTTCCAAGGATGGTTGAGGTGCAGAAGAAGACGGCCTGACCTGCAGATTTGGCTTCCAAGGGGGCGCGGAAGGGTGTGGCAGGCAGTGGCCGGAGGCGAACCGAAGGGAACCAGCCGGATGGACAAGACAGACGGGCAGCAGAGACCAGAGCAGCGCAGCGTGGTGTAGTGTAGCGCGAGTGCGGCGCAACAGGACCAAGGCGCGCAGCTTCAACGAGCTCCAGCCCTAGGGAATGAATGGCTCGAGACGAGACGAGACGAGCAATGAACGGCCGGCCATGGCTGCGCAGAGGAAACGGGACTGATGCACCTTTCTTTTCTTCTTTTGCGAATCTTGGAATCGAGGAGGGGGGGGAGGGGGAGCCAGTGGGCTGGATGGGGGGGCAAGGCAGAGGGAAAAGGGTCTTCTCTCTCGACTTGTTCTTTTTCTCGGATCTTTGTTACCTTATTATTCTCTGATAGTCCAGCAATCAGATGGACGAGGGGCGCGACGCGTGTGCGACAGTAACGATGACGATCGCACTAGGCGGCAGTGAGGAAACACGAGCGGCGACCGACTTTTTGTCTGGCGGCGTGCGCGTCTCTGCAAGTCTGCAAAGAGGCAATCGGCGATGGTTGGAGGCAGCGCGACTCGACTTGACCGTGGTGGAGCAGCTCTCCTCAGCTCAGCTTCGACGACAGCGGCAGATGTACTCAACTACCAGCAGTAGCGTAGCGCAGCGCAGCGCAGCACAGGACGGCACGGCACAGCGAGGCACGACACGACGCAGGAAACAAACACTGGCAGAGAAGCGCAGTCGTTGGCGAGCTGGGGGACCTGGTGCCGGATGTGGGCGCGATGTCTGGCGGGAGGTTGTGTGCAAAAGAAGAGGGAGGGTGGTTTAGGGTGGTTATGGTGGTGGTGGTGTTGGAGGTGGAGATGGGATGGATGGCAGAGGGAGCGGGAGCTTTGTAATGGCCGGGCCAGGACAGTGGCAGGTAGGTATGTCGTACGTTAGCACGCCCTGCGCACGCTAGAGGTCGCAGAGACGTGCAGAAAACCGCTTGACGCTTGATGCTCGACGCTTGACGGGCGGGGGTGGGAGGGAGAGGAGAGAAAGGCTGGGGCCGGGCCAAGGGTGCGCTGCTGTAGGTATTTGTGGGTGCGCGGATCGAGGGCTGCAAACGGATGGCGGCGAATCAATGGTTGGCTGCAAAGACGCAGCGGCTGGAGACATTTTGGCTGCCTTTGCCCTGCTGTTGGAGGGGGCGTGCGCGAGAGCGAGGAGTGCACAGATGGACGTTGATGCAAGGGAGCAGAGGTTGAGTGAGGCAAGGCAGCCTGGTTGTGTCGCAAGGTCGCACACAGGTGAGGCACCTCACTTGTAGATGCCAGGTACTCGCAGGTACGGGGTACTGCCAGCCGCGCCGTGTGCAGAGAGAGCCCTGGAGGCGCTCGAACAGGCAACAAGGCCAGCAGCCACAGTGGACGCTCTAGGGGTAGTTGAGGGCGACGGGTACCGGAGTCGGGGGGCTCGTGCGCTGAATGGTGGATGGACTCGAGCAGCTTGATGAGCGTGCATGGAGCTGGAGCGCTAGAGCCACCTGCAGTGGGCGCACTAGGTACAGGTTCTCGTCTCCACCGCTGCCTTCATGGACAGCAGCAAGCAGGGCCAAACTCGGAATGACAGCACAGATGCAGCGAGACGGCTGAAAAGGCGACATGGATCACATACAAGCAACGCTGCCGACTCATCACCAAGCCTAGCAGATTGGTCGCCGCACTACAAAAGCATGTACGAAGATGGAGTCCCAATTCTCGTCTCGTGCAGCTCCCTTCCAATTATTCTTGCGGGCATCAGGCTGCATCAGAGATCATGCCATGGAGTTGGAGGGAGGGGAAGCCGACAGATGGACACCTCACTTTGAAAAGTCCGGTCGCCTTTGGCAGGCAAGCAAGGAGAACATGAGGCACGAGGGCCTGCTGCAGCAGCTCAGCCCGTGTGCAGAGTCAGGATTGTGCCCGGGCTTGTAATGCTACTCCGTACGTACTGTACGATTACAGTTGGTAGGTATTTGCATCAACAGGCGCATCCCTGCAACTCGCCGTGTGAGGGCAAGTATTGGGCGGCGATATGATACCATGCAGGCATGCGAGGACGCGCCTGGTACGCAGGACCCGTGCGCAGCGTCCAAGTATGGCTTGTATCGGTGTTGTTCAACAGCGTTCTGTGGGCATTTCATTGCGTCTGGAGTCCTGGAATGTCGAGATGATGATAATAGTGATAATAATAACCGGGCTGGGGATGGCAGGAGTTGCAGCCGCAGTGGCCGTATAAGCTGATAAGACGCATCGTGGACAGGGAGCTTCAGCCCGCTGCAGTCTGCTCCTTGACTTCACACATTACCCACCTCGCTGGTCTGCTGCCGTCACTCCTGCTCGCGCAATCAACGGCTGCCCTGTTCTCCGCAAGGCGTGCAGTGAATCCCCTTGCTTCCAGGCGCTGTATTCCCTGTCTGCACGAATCCTCGACAGGTACTGGCTGGCTCGATATGCAAGCAATGCTTTCGAACCCGGGGCTTCAAAGGCACCCCTGCTGGCTCGCCGTGGCACTCGGCAACAGTGCCTCGTTGGGAACTGCAGCTTCCGCTGATTGATCCTTCAGGTCAGCCTGTCTGCCCGCTCTGGTCTGCTCGTGGGATCTGTTTAATCAAAGTGACTTTTGGCCCGGTCTTTTACCTGCCCGAATCGATTGCTGGCCTACGCCCAGATACGGCGTGCCGCCTCGTCGGGAACAATCACTAGCGAGCTCTCCGGCTCCGTGTCGGTTAGTTTAGTTGATACCTGCGCGCGTGAAGAGCTGCAGCAGCTCAGTCCAAGGACGACCGCGTCAAGGACTAGGAGGGTTAGCAGCAAAGGCTCGGCTGCGGGCTGAAGCCAACACCGGGGCGAGCGAGGATTAGCTCGTAAACGGGCATCAGAAAGGAGACCCGTGGATGATGCAATGAAGCAGAAGACGAAGAGCGGTAGAATGTCGAGAAGCCAAAGCTGCGACATGTCCGGCGTCAAAGTGGACGGCAGACCCAAGGTCCGAAGTTGCATCGCACAGGTAGGTTGAAGGCAGAGCTAGAGGCTAAAGCCGCAGTTTGAACATCCTCGCGCTAAGGCCACCCCGGGTGCGTCTGTGCGTCTCCGCGCATCGAAGTGATCAGTCATTCCTGGCTCGTGTTGGCTTGCGCCCGGCCTGACGTTTTTATGGAGCGCGCGGTTCTATTTTCGAAAGCTGATGGCCGTGCTGGTCATATTCTGAAAACCACCATGGAGTCATCTGGTCATGCGTGATGAAAAAAAAGAGAAGACCAAAAGGTTAAAGGCGAAAATTTCACACAAAGTTTGCCTCAGACAGCTACCGTGGCGAATCGGGCAAGAGCCGCCCTGATCGTTCATGCCGGAGGTGATTCACATCTGCAAGTAACTCCATGTATCGGCCTGTCCACCGCAAGCATCTCTCCTCCCTGAGACAGTTTCGGAGTACGAGCCAGCTACCTCCAGTGCAAACCTGCGACCTCCCTATTGCAGAGAGGACTCGACTCCCGCTCTCTTGCATGACTTGGCCGTCACAGCATTGGCTGGCATGTCTGTGCCGCTAGCTGGCCATCGACGTCATAGCGGCGTTCTGGGTCGCAGCCCGTCGGAAGCAGCAGTCAGTTCTCTGTCGGCTGCTAGTCCACATGGGGCAATAAACTGAATGCAACCCGCTCCCAATTGGCTGCTGCGTAGCTCCTGCATGGGCGCTGTTTGCACTAACATCCGCAATGGCCATGCGGCCGGATAGAGTTGGCCTGGAGGTGGAGCCTCGCTTTTGGCTGAATGGAGGCACCAGCGGGAGACGCGCAGAGGGGGGCGGAGGGGAGGACGGAGAGGTACTCGCAGGTATCTCGACTGTCTGCTCTACACGGCCTTGCCTTCAACAAGCCTTCCTTGCCCTGTGTCTCCGATGACCAGCCTGTCCTTTTCCCCGAGAGGCTCACGTCTTACCGTCTCCCAGTATTGAATGTCTTACACCAAGTTGGACAATAATAGACCTGGGTGGCAGCATAATCTGCTTCGTGATACCTCTGTCCGGACCTTGTACATCGCCTCGGACAATGACTGAACCCCCTTTCACGCGTTGACGGGGCGCAATGAAAATGGGATGCACAATTTATCTTCGTAGAATCATGCCCTGGCAAACATGGCAGGCATGTTACAAGGTAGGTAAAAAGGCAAAGCCAGTCACAAGCACCGTAACACAAAGCAACTGTATCCATACAAGAAACATGTCCGAAGGCATATTAAGTGAGTGCCCTGTTTGATTCGCTGCTTTGCTCAGGATGTGGATCGTGTGGTGCTTCACATCGATATGATATTCGATACAACCGCATACGAGTACCTGGAAACACGAGCACAGCCAGGGCTTGCGTCTACACTCTGCGAGTACGAGTATTATTCCTTGGTCCTGCCAAGATGCTCACAAAGACTGGCATAATCAGTAATACTCCGTACATACACTGGATCCCTTGAGTCGGGCTGAGCCGCCCGTCGTCATCGCTGACAAGATCTGGTCGAATAAGCCGGCGATTTGACCTGATCACACTTCTACTATACCCTATGCACGTACAATGATCCAAAGTTGATGCGGAGTAGTCCTTGTTCGGGTAACTGATCTCCGTGCTGATTGAAGGATTTACATAGAAGCTCTGTCAATCCAAGAAGGCTTGCCTGTAAGTGAGATGTGGTCTGGCCAGGCAAGCGGAGGGCTCGCGACAGGAACTTGAATTCTTCCCGTCGTTGAGTACAAAGTGCCTTAACCTATGCAGTAAGGTAGTAGTAATTGCATTGGGACCTGAGCCACGAGCGCCTTCCGCAACCTGGTGCTCAAACTACAGGATTTCCT